AGCACTGAGGCTCCCCTACTACAAGCTGAATTCACCAAAGAGCTGAACTGACTAAGAGCTGAAATCACCAAGCATTGTGTTAAGTAGTGGGGGAGCCTGAAGATATATTGTGGAGCAGTTTGCGGGACGGCTGGAGTGCCTTGTGGACAGGCTGGTGGAGCAGTTCGTAGGACGGCGGGAGCTGCTGGTGGGACGCGGAGCAGTTTGTGGACCAGCTGGTGGAGCAGTTTGTGGGACGGTGGGAGCTGCTTGTGGGATGCGGAGCTGAGCGAAGGAGTTCGTGGGGCAGCTGGCGGAGCAGAGCGGAGCAAAGCGAAGGCCTATGGAGCTGTGGGGCGGTCAGCTTCAGATCATGTAAGGTGCCTCTTACCCCCGTCCCATCTCCACCCAGGTTGGGAGGTAAAGCTCAGCAGATAAACTTTCGAACTCTGGGGCTTCCCTGACCAGGGACAGAGACTTTTGGGACTTTGGGTGATTTGGGGTTGCTGGACTCAAGAACCAAAGGGAAAGGGGCATGCCCCAATTTGCTTGGGGTGGGTTTTTTTGCTCATGGGTTGTGTTATGAATCCTGTTGGTGGTGTTTCCCCAACATAATGCCACATTGTTTCTCTCTGTTATTAAAAGGCTTTTTGCTACACTCAGACTATGTGCTTGCGAGAGGGGAAGTATTGCCTCTTGGAGGCGCCCAGCGGGGGTGGTATATATTTGCCCCAGGTCACTGGGTGGGGGCTCGAGCCGGTTTGCATTGTGTTATTGGAATGGATCCCCTAGATATTGAACCCGGCCCTTGTTGCTGCCAACTCTGACGGGCAGAAGGGTTACATTTGTTTACACAGACCCCTAAAGAGGCAAGGCGGCATCAAAGAGACTGGATCACAAAGACAACTTCTTGCCACAATTGCCCCACTAGTAGCCAGTGGTGCAGGTAAGGGAATACTGTATGTCCCTTCGTGTCTCATCTGGGCTGCTATGACCACGAACACCTTCGTAAAAATCCCTGGTGCTGTCGCTATGTCGAAGGGAAGAATGCGAAACTGGTAGTGTTGGTCCCCAACCTTGAAGCGGAGGAACTTCCTGTGAGACGGATAGATGTCCTCATGGAAGTATGCATCTTTCATGTCTACAGCCACAAATCATGCTCCTCCTGGAGGGAAGGAATTATTGATGCCAAAATAATCATCCAGAATTTCAGCTTTCTGATTAATATATTTAGCTGACCAAGATCCAGGATGGGCCTCCACCCTCCACAGGGATGAGGAAATAAGGTGAGGCTGGATGCCCTCTATCGCACCCTTGAGGAGCAAGGAGTCTGTTTCCTGCTGAAGAATCAATTGGTGGGAGGGATCCCCTGAAGTGGGTTGGGTGGGAGGGCGATGAGGAGGAAGGAAAAAAATTATGGAGTATCCATGATGGATGATCTTCAGTACCCAACTGTCTGTGGTGGTCTTGCCCCAACTGTGGGCAAAGAGGGCAAGGCAGATGGCAAAGATGAAGGGCAGCAAAATAGGTGGCATTGAAAGTGGTTCATGGGTGTTGACCCACATGTCTAAAGTGACCGTTGGCCTACAGCTGGGAGAGGATTGTGTAGGTGTCAGTGGCTGGAGCTGAAAAGTGGGCCCTCTGGGACCTCCATTGTTTACAGGGGAGAGAGGGGGGTTCTGGTGGCTGTTGATAGTAGGGTGGGTAGGTGGCTGTTGTCCAAAGGGCTGCCTTTGGTGCTTGCTCCTGGGAGCTGGGGTGTAGATTCCCAGGGACCGCAGAATGGACTGGCAATTTTTCAAGGAATGCAGAGACTAATTGGTCTGGCCATTAAAAAGATAGGCTTCATCAAAAGGGAGGTCCCTGATGGTGTTTTAGGCCTCCCTCAGGAAACCGGAAGACTGAAGCCAAAAGTCTCTGCACAGAATGAATCCCGTGGTCATGGAACAGGATGCAGTCTCAGCTGCATCCTCCGCAACCTGGAGAGCCACCTTAGCCACCAATTCCCCTTCATCTACCAAGGCCTGGATCTTGGCCTGGTGTCCCCAGGGAGCTTGTACTTAAACTCTACCAGCCTGCTGTACATGTTGAAATCGAACTTAGCCAGCAGTGCCTGGGAGTTAGCTATGTGGAACTGTCATCCCTACAAAGAAAAGACCTTCCTGTCCAGAAGGTCCAACCTTTTGACCCCTTGTTTGGTAGGCTGGATTTCTGCAGCTGTTGATGAGCCTGCTCTGCAGCTGCTGGAACCGCCAGTGAATTAGGGGCTGGATGCGTAAACAGAAAATCGGTCCCTTTGGCCGGCACAAAATAGCATCTCTCAGCTCTTTTCGGGATGTGGGCACATGATGCGTGTGCCGAACCAGCCTGGGCAGTCTAACACCAGTATGGCCTTGTTTATAGGAAGGGCCACCCTGTGGCTCAAGGATCTCCAGGAAATGATGTTGGGGATCCTGGACTTCCTTCAACAGAATTTGCAGGTTGGTAGCCACCCTCTCTAGATGGTCTTGGTACTGCTGGTGATCATCCGGCAGAGAGAGCGGCAAATCATAACCGCCTCATTCAGTGACAAGGAGGCTCCTGTTGGAACCGGTGGTACAGATTCCATGTCTTCCTCCACGTACACTGACAGAGGCTAGCTGGCGCATGGGGGAGGAATGATAAGACTGGCAACAGTGCCGGATGTCTGTGGTACAGATCCCAGGGTCTTCAATAGGGCCAAAACCTAGACCAATGGACCCCAAGGAAAGCAGTACCAGGCCTCCCTGAGGGGGTCATAGCTGGCAGGTAAGGGTGCCTCGGCTCTCTGTCTGGGCTTCTGCATGGCAGTGGAGATGTTGGTAGGACTATGTCCTGGGACACCGCTGAGTCAGATAACGGCTCTGTCAGAAACGGCAGAACTGTCGGTAATGGAGGACCCCATTCCGATGGATGGAGCGGGGGCCTCTCCTGTAATAGCAGTTCATCCTCAGGTGTAGCAATGTCCTGAAGAATGGATGGGCCGGAGAGGAGAGGAGAGGAGACTGCGAGTAAGGCAAGATCACTTTCTCCGGCATCAGGAATGTCTCTGTATGTCCTATAGTCCACATAATGCCCATGGAGACTCTGGAGGGACAAGGTTTAGTCATCAGAGCTGGCGAATGGGATATGCAGAGCCACACCCATAGATAGCTGCTCCATGCATCCGGACATTGAGATCACCAGTGGAACAAATGGATCCTACTTCTTTGCCTTACCCTCCAGGCAAAGGGGGGGTCCCTTTCGGCACAGGTTCCAGGGGATCCAGATGCAACATCCCGACCTGGTATGCCTCGGGGACACAATGCATCTCTTATGAGCAGTTCTCTGTAGGGATGTGCTCTTATGCCCTCTAGAGTGTTTCTTACTGTCCTGGTAGGGCTTGTCCTTGGGGTTCGGTGCTGGCGGCTCTGCACCATGTCTCGTGTTTGGGAGGCAATCCGAGTCAGAGGAGGCCGCTGTATGCAGGGGTCTTCCTGGCCAGGATCAGACTGAATCTGGGGCCTCAGTCTCTTCCATCAGGAACTTGCAGAGTCAGAGCTCCTGGGCCTCTATAGTTCTGGTGAGAAGGACTTACAGATGCCGCACCTCGCCCAGACAGCAGAGGCACCGTTGATGATCGACACTGATGGAAAAGGAATGAAGGCAGGAGACACAGTTCTTGAAGCCTGGGCATCTGGGCATAGTCCCAGGGTAGAGAGGGGTTGTGTCCCCCAACCGGGGAGGTTCTGTACTAGCTAGACTACACTACACTAAACTATCTTAACTAATCTATAAAACTATGAAAACACTATTTACACAAGCATTCAACAACTCTCTGAGATAAGAGCGAAGGAGGAATTGGTGTTCCTATTCAGGCCATGTGGCAGTAAGAGGGAACTGGAGTGACATCGACCCACACTGCCCCTTATGCCCTCTCTTTGGGGCACAAGAGTACATGCCGCACATGTGTGGGTCAAAAGACACTACCTTGGGAGAAAACTTCCGGACTCAGGCTCATGGAGCGCGTGCGCACCCCACATGTGAAATACACATAGGAACCATCACTCAAAAAAGAAGGGACAGATAATAAAAAAATATCATAATGCCACCATATAAATCCATGATACACCCATACCTTGAATACTGCACACAGTTCTGGTTGCCCCATCTCAAAAGAGATATTAGAATTGGAAAAAGTATAGAGAAGGGCAACAAAAGTTATTATAGGGATGGAACAGCTTCCATACAAAGAGAGATTAATAAAGACTGGGACTGGTCATCTTCGAAAAGAGACGAGTAAGGGGGAGATATTATAGACGTCTATAAAATCATGAATGGTGTGGACAAAATGCTTAAGGCAGTGTTATCTACCCCTGAACATAACACACGAACCAGGGGTCACCCAATGAAAGCAATAGGTAGTAGGTTTAAACAAACATAAGGAAATACTACTTCATCCAACACACAGTCAACCGGTGGAATTCGATGCCAGGGAATGTTGTAAAGGCCAAAAGTATAACTGGGTTCAAAATAGAATTAGATACATTCATGGAGAGTAGATCCATCAATAGCTATTAACCAAGATGGTCAGGGACGCAACCCTATACTCTGGGTGACCCTAAACCTCTGACTGCTAGAAGCCGGGACTGGAGAAATGGGGATGGATCACTTGACAAATTACCCTGTTCTGTTCATTCCCTTTGAAGCATCTGACACTGGCCACTGTCAGAAGACAGGTTACTGGACTAGATGGACCACTGGTCTGATCCATGTGTTCTTATATAAATATTTTATATGAATTTACGGCCTGCTTCCTACAAGGGGCAAAGCACCTTCTAGTCCAACATAGTCATCTTGTAGTAAGTAGGCCCTGAGACTCTCTTGACTCAGTAAATAGAAATGAGATTATCAATGTATTGCAGAGTAATACTCCAATGGGATATCACTTATCTTCTAAGTATTTTTTGCATTATTTCATGTTTAAGTAATTTCCAGAGAAGCAAAAAGTAAATGTAACTTACATGCCACCAAAAACTTGGACAGAAGCTATTCGAGGATTGTATCCTAGGAACTGGAGATTTAAGACTTCTGTAGTAAACTCCATTTTCTTCCCCTTGAAACCTTCCTTTTCAAAGAGGGCTATGCTTGGCTCAGAAAGCTCCTATATTAAAAAAAAGGGTCCTATTTAATACATGTACATCACTCCAGAACATTAAGCCACAAAGACTCTTTGCACTCTTTTGCTTGAAGATTTGAAGATCAGAAATTCCCCAACCATCCTTGCTCACTGGCAGCAGCTTACTAAAAAACCACAAACCCCCCACAACCCACGCACACACTTTTTGCATGCAATACACAAGTCCTTGTGACAATGCATATGCACAAATTTGTATGTTTCTACGCACACATCACAATGATGCTTTCAAACAAATTTTAATTAAACTCATTGGACCGATCAGTTGAAAATCACTGGGGAATTCGGATTTTCAAACCCACAAGAAAAAGCAGCTTTAAAATGATCTTGAAGGCCTAAAATGTTGATAGAATCCCCAGCTCTCCCCATGATGAACTGTCACTTGAGTGAAGCAGTAGTCACTCACACACACACACACATCCCTGTCTTGTTCTTAATTCCTCTCATAGGACATGATGCTTTTAATCATTCACTGGACTAAATCCTCAAGATTAATGTTTCTGAGATCAAATACATGACATTCACCCCTTCCCACAGAGTTGTGCTCCAGAAACTAAACTCTGGGGAGGGGGGTTGTTTTAATTATTATATATCTAGCCCGTTTGATTGCAGGGAAAACTTCAAAATACAAATAGAGTGTAAACCACAACAGTGAGAACTGCCCGTGTCTGCAGAGAGCTGAAACAATAGTTTTGAGAGCTGTGCATTGCCCCATTCATTTCAAAAACAGTGCCCTGTGAACTTGAACAGCTAAATGGGACTAAATCAGGGGGCCCAGATAATCTTCATCCAAGAATATTAAAGGAATTGGCACATGAAATTGCAAGCCCATTAGCAAGAATTTTTAATGAATCTGTAAACTCAGGGGTTGTACCGTATGATTGGAGAATTGCTAACATAGTTCCTATTTTTAAGAAAGGAAAAAAAAAGTGATCTGGGTAACTACAGGCCCATTAGTTTGACATCTGTAGCATGCAAGGTCTTGGAAAAAATTCTGAAGGAGAAAATAGTTAAGGACATTGAGGTCAATGGTAAATGGGACAAAATACAACATGGTTTTACAAAAGGTAGATTGTGCCAAACCAACCTGATCTCCTTCTTTGAGAAAGTAACAGATTTTTTAGACAAATGAAACGCAGTGGATCTAATTTACCTAGATTTCAGTAAGGTGTTTGATACCGTGCCATATGGGGAATTATTAGTTAAATTGGAAAAGATGGGAATCAATATGAAAATTGAAAGGTGGATAAGGAATTGGTTAATAGGGAGACTACAGCGGGTCATACTGAAAGGTGAACTGTCAGGCTGGAGGGAGGTTACCAGTGGAGTTCCTCAGGGATCAGTTTTGGGACCAATCTTATTTAATCTTTTTATTACTGACCTCGTCACAAAAAGTGGGAGTGTGCTAATAAAGTTTGCGGATGATACAAAGCTGGGAAGTATTGCCAATTTAGAGAGAGACCGGGATATCATACAGGAAGATCTGGATGACCTCGTAAACTGGAGTAATAGTAATAGGAAGAAATTTAATAGTGAGAAGTGTAAGGTCATGCATTTAGGGATTAATAACAAGAATTTTAGTTATAAGCATCAATTAAAAGTAACGGAGGAGGAGAAGGACCTTGGAGTATTGATTGATCACAGGATGACTATGAGCCGCCAATGTAATATGACCGTGAAAAAAGCTAATGCGGTCTTGGGATGCATTAGGCGAGGTATTTCCAGTAGGGATAAGGAGATTTTAGTACCGTTATACAAGGCACTGGTGAGACCTCACCTGGAATACTGTGTGCAGTTCTGGTCTCCCATGTTTAAGAAGGATGAATTCAAAGAGAAGGGCTATTAGGATGATCCGAGGAATGGAAAACCTGTCTTATGAAAGGAGACTCAAGGAGCCTGGCTCGTTTAGCCTAACCAAAAGAAGGTTGAGGGGAGATATGATTGCTCTCTATAAATATATCAGAGGGATAAATACCAGAGAGGGAGAGGAATTATTTAAGCTCAGTACCAATGTGGACACAAGAACAAATGGATATAAACTGGTCATCGGGAAGTTTAGACTTGAAATTAGACGAAGGTTTCTAACCATCAGAGGAGTGAAGTTTTGGAATAGCCTTCCAAAGGAAGCAGTGGGGGCAAAAGACCTATCTGGCTTTAAGATTAAACTCGATAAGTTTATGGAGGAGATGGTATGATGGGATAACATGATTTTGGCAATTAATTGATCTTTAAATACTCATGGTAAATAGGCCCAATGGCTTGTGATGGGATGTTAGATGGGGTGGGATCTGAGTTACCCAGGAAAGAATTTTCTGTAGTATCTGGCTGGTGAATCTTGTCCATATGCTCAGGGTTCAGCTGACTGCCATATTTGAGTTCGGGAAAGCCTGATGCATTAGGTGCTACATGGGTAGAAGATGCAAGTGAAAAAAATGTAGAGACTGTTATGGGAGAAGCAGGCAAAAGGGGTATTGAGACGAACTGGGATCATTGGAAGCATGGCAAAAAATATGACCAGAAAAATAAATACCTGAAATAGAAATCTTACAGCTTTGCAGAATTATGAAAATGAGCTTTACACAAACACACATTTTTGTCTGTTGTTTTTTACTTTGTATATTGGTTTGCCATAACACAGATATTATCAGGTAGAAAACTGATTGCCTTGCCTAGTTCATCATCCCATCAATGACCTCTATGGAGAAGCAAGCAGCAGTGCATTGAAGCAAATAAATGGCATGGAATTGCTTTATACTATACTTATCTGCTAAGCCTCACATGACCTGTGGTAGCACAAACCTTAGTGGTGTTTATGAACTTTAACAATCAACAGCTGCCATTTGTTTGTTTTGTCAACAGAACACCATTATTCTCCTTCACAAAGTAAAAATTTTCCAAGAGTGAGTTTATCCTTCTACGGTCGAAACAGGCATATAAAATACAATGATAGTTTACACTGCAATGTATAAAAGCTCTCTACAGACTAGACTATTTTAATTAATGGTTGATAACAACCATTATGCTTGTCCAGGACCATTCTATTTATTTTTAACAGTATCTGCATCAGCAGCATGGCAATGGAGTGGAGAAAGTATGACATACACCTAGGGGGGCTCTTTTCCTGAGTTTATATTGTACCTCAAAAGGCGCCATAGGGGCTAGTAATGACAACTACATTAGAGCAATAACAATACTGTCAAAGAGTTACGTGAGTATTATAATAGCCAAACCCAACGAAAAGGAGCAACAGTTTACTATTTCTCTTCTAAAATTAGTACAAACAGCTGGTAGTAGTAATTCTAGCTTCTCACTGGATTCTTGACAACATTTTGTTTAAATTTATGTTAGTTTTAAAATGTATTTGCATGATTCTGCAAATGATCTATTGTAATGATCTATCATGAGGTTGAGTAAACTCTTAACAGACCTATTAAAGGGTAATGAGTGCAAATTAAAATGACATTTGATTTCTCATTTGCTATTAAAATATTAATTATTATTCTGGTACCAGCAAATAGGAATAATTAAAAAAGCTTATAAATTCCATATTGCCATAGAAATATAGAATTCTGATTTTTGAATACATGAAGTGCTGAACCTTCTTTGGAAGAATGAACCATTGAGTGAGTGAACAAAAATGGAATTTTCGTGATTATGACAACTGCACATTGTAATTAATTTAGTTCTTCTGAAGTTGCATGGTTGAATTCCACTTTTTATGCACATACAGCATGGACAGCAGCAGGGAAGCTTTTCCACATTGCCCCACCAACATGCTTGAACCCTAACTTGGAGATGAACAGCAGCAGAAAGCAGCAATTCAGTTGCTCTGCCTATGGCATCGTTGACTCCTTTATTACGACTGCTATCAATAATGATGGCAGCTTTTGGTTCATGCACTGAGACCAACAAACTCATTATGCATAGCTACTGAACAGTAACTACTTGTCCCTGTACCACTTGTACTTCACTGTCCTTTATGTAGTTGCAAAAATGAGAAGTTAAATACTCCTACTGCGTGTGTATTTATTCAGTTATCCTTACAATGTTTATAACATGTAGAGATTTAAGTCTTGTTTGGGGTGGACATCCCATTGCAGTCAGATTAGAATAGGTTCCTTCTTCTAACACATACTGATTACCAGAGAAATCTTCTTTATCATATGCAATCCAACTGCAGGAAGAGAAGGAAAAATCTAATAACTAAAGTATTCCACTCATAACCAAAGTTCCGTCAATGCTTCCCAATATTCCTTAGCATGTAAACAATCATTTTTAATCACTCAAATATTTTAGCGGAAATAAGCTACTGAGAGAAACATGACAAACTTCAGAGGTATTGGAGAGTTAAAAATTCACATGATGAATTGCAAAACTTTTTTCCTTCCATTTAACTCCACAGTTGGTATGTGAAACTGGATCCTTCACCCATTTCCAATTTCAGAAAGTTGGAATATTTTTAAGTTTTTTACCATTTCAATGATTTTGCAATAATCATAATTCCATGCTTACCTGCCGCCCAAAACTTTTGAAGACTTTGTAGCAAATGAATCGTCAATATAATTGGTATTTTTCTCAAATATTTGGCTGTTACCTTTGAATTCTGGCTCTGAAAATAGCTGGACCTTTAAAATTATAGTGTACATATTAAAAGGATATTGTATAATAATGCATTCAGCACCCTTTAACTAGGTAAATCAAACATTACTTCCATTCATGGTTATATTCAAATGCATTTAAAAACCCGGAATCCTTCAGTTTTGCAACATTAACATATTTTATTATCCACGAGTTACTTTTCTGAAAGATTGCCAGGTAACCAGATTGAAAATTACTTTCTGCAGTAAATCATTTAGCAACATACAAAACAGTTCAACAACTACTAGTAAACAGACATAGATTGTTTAAATATATCCCAGATTAGATTTTTAAAACTTCCTTGTAAGGCAAGATGGTAAATGGTCTATCAAACTCATCTGTCCTGGTTCTTTAATCATATTCTTAGAAATACATTTTCCCTTCCCCATCCATATCAAACTACCTGATTTCTCAGAATATAAAAGTTTTGTATGAACTTTGTAAGCCACTCAGATACCACAATGATGGGTGTGGTATAAATTCCCAGATGAGACAGATAGTATTTGTACTGCTAGAACTATAGTTGTGTCAACACTTATATTACAAACCCCTTTACCTTGTTTAAAATTTCACCCTAGGCTGAAAGCCAAACACACACACACACACACACAATGAATTAATAATTCATATTAATTACTATATGAGGATAGTTGATCGCATAATTAAATCTGATCACACAGGAATCATCCCTATCATAATAATTATGCCAAATTTATTCACACTTAAAAAAGATACACGTCCAGGCATGTAGAGATTTCCACAAGAGGAATATCATGTACAACAGAATGTGCCCCCAAATAAAACATAGGTCCAGTGTTTCTTACCTCACTTAAGAATCTGTTTAGAAGTATACAATATGCAGGTATAGACAATTTAAAAAAAAATGTGCATGGGGCTGGGCAATAAACAACCTTGAGGTATTTCTTTCCCCAAAAGCTATAGACAGCTGTGAACAGCAAGGCTTTGGTAAGGCACAATATCAGTTAAGCCTTGTTTAATATGATTTGCATCCTTCTCCCCCCTCCCCCCAATAGGGTCATAACTTTGTACTGTATTCACCATTTAGGCTGAACTTTTTCAAGTTTCATCTGTGCCATGATTTTTTTTTTTTTTATTAAAGGAAGGATGAAAACAGATTTTTTTTTTTTTTTTTTACAATGGGAAAAGTGTAAAATCTGTAATCTCACTGAACAGGTAAGTATCCTCTCCATATTCAGAGTCATATCTCCTTGCATGAGTGACAAAAAGTTAAGATTTTACTACTCTTGAAACCATTAAAGCCCTATAGATCTAGGAGAGAAAGACACACCTAGATTCTCTGGTAGCTTGCATTCCATCAACAGAATTGTTAACTAAAGCAGGGAAGGGATAGCTCAGTGGTTTGAGCATTAGCCTGCTAAACCCAGGGTTGTGAGTTCAATCCCTGAGGGGGCCATTTAAGGATCTGGGGCAAAAATTGGGGATTGGTCCTGCTTTGAGCAGGGGTTTGGACTAGATCTCCTGAGGTCCCTTCCAACCCTAGTATTCTATGATTCCATGAAATTCTAATTGCAGGGCTATTTCTGCAACCTCATTACCCTCAGATTATGGTCGGCTACATCTGTGTAACCCCACTGAGGACATAATTTGAGAGTATAGAGGTTGCAAAATTGTGAATGAGGGTACTAATCCATCAAGCTATTTTCAATGCATATTGTCAGGATGCTGAAAAAAGTTGAAACACACAAGCAGCAAAGGAAGAGTTAAGACTGTACAGGCACATTACCTACTGTCAAAGGTAAGTTTCTTCTATGTTCAACAGGTAATGTTAGCTAACACTAAACTTTATTTATGGATAGAAGGAGTTTCTATTTAACCCCCACTTTTTCATTCACTTCTAACATTTTTCTTTTGAAGTTTTAACTTGGTGGGCGCTGAATCCATGAGAAGAAACTGTGTTAATGCAGCGTTAATATTCAGAAATTAAGTCCATAGAAATCAGGAAATGCTGTATTAACTCTGCATTTCCTGATTTCTGTGCTTAATTTTTAAATATCTGATATTGCACCAATAACCCCTTTGCTCCTGAAGTTTTTAAATGCTTGAGGGTCAGGAAATTGGGTAAACAGCAGCAGGGTAAACGAACGGATAGGGAAAGCTAAAGCAGAGATGGGGAGCTGAAGATAATGGAGTCAGAGAACATCAGCTACTCCCATAAAAAGGAACACAATGACACAAAACTATTAGTATTGGTAGTTTCTGAACATTACAGGTTTTCTTGAATTTGACAGGATGTAGTAAACACCACTCCATTCAATTATTTTGGCATCTTAGGCATTTGCTCAACTGCCTAGATATTTTAGTCATTTGATCAAATTACAATTTTGACAGAATGACTGCTTTTTAAAAATTTATATATATTAAACACACTAGAATATATTTGTTTTACAAATTTAGAGAAGGACCTTACCTTGAATTTCCCCATTTGGCTATTGATGGTATCCTAAAAAGTTTGGAGGGAAAAAAACCCAAATATTAAGAGTGATGAAATAATGCAAAAAGCATTCAAAACCTTACAGCTTTAAGAACCTAAGCAAATCTAAATTTCATTAGAAAACAGGAGAAATAGCTACAATCATTTGTCAAAAATGTATAAAGTGTAATAATACCAAAAAAAAAAAGTTTCCTTACCGCAACTATGGGCTGAACTGAAGAGATCTTACTATTCTTGCCTCCCCAGGCCTCAATGCTGGGATACAGTCCTTTATCAAGGATGTACTGCTCTCCTGTAAAGTCAGGATTCTCATAGACTACCCACCTGAAAAAACAGATACCAAAAACTTTTTCAAAACATAAACATGGTGAATATTCATTATTGTCTTAATGTAAGTTTTAAGAACATAAGAATGGCCACAGTGGGTCAGACCAAAGGTCCATCTGGCCCAGTATCCTGTCTTCTGACAGTGGCCAAGGTCAACTGCTTCAGAGGAATGAACAGAACAGGTTCAAGTGATCCAAGAAACAGTTAATGTTACTGATATTTCCAAAGGGCAAACTAGCACACTGTTAAAAATCAAAATTAAAGAAATAGTACATTGCATCAACAATTTTAACCCTCCCAGTACCATGAGGTGCTGAGCCCCTCCTGCTACCACAGGTTTTACTGAGAGCAGTGGGTGTTCAGCACTTTGCAGGCAGCACTTGGAAACTTACAATATGGGGGCCTGATTTTGCAACAGGCAGCTCAAAAGAGCCATATATGGTTTGCACTTCAAAAATCTATTGTAATAAGTCATGCTTTCGCACCATGGATCTACTGTATGCGTATTAAGATTCTGGGGAAAACAAAAAGAGAAGAAATTTCAACGCTCTTCAACTTAGCTACCACAAGCCACATGAGGCTGTATGTATTTTATCTGGCAAGATGCTCATTTGTTTTGTCCTTGATCAGAGAGAATATTTTGAGGTGTTTCAAATCTAAAGCTTTTATTATGTTACTAATTCTATAATTTTTATTTATTAGCTTGAGCTAAGAAATAAATAAGCTCTCTCTTGTAAAACGTGAGGATGTTTGGAAACAAATTTTTGCATGATGAACAGAAGCATTAAGGATACTCTGCTACAATAACATATTATGCATTTCATAAAAAAATGAACCTGACTGAAGAGGATTTTTTTTACATGACATCACACCTAAACAAAAACATTTGACTCGTTTGCAAAAGTCTGCTAAGGTAAAGTGTCCTTCCTGCTAGAAAATATGCCATCAAAGGGAAGGACGTTTTCCCCACAAAATTAAATGCTAAAACAAAGTGAAATATCTTAACAGATTCAAAGGTTTTAAGGCTGCATGGGATCATGATGAGTCCAACCATATGCACAGAAAAGACCATAGAATTTCTACATCAAGCCCCTAACTTCTAGTTCAGCTAGAACATGTGTTCTAGAAAGACATCCAAACTTGATTTAAAGAATTCAAGTGATGGGGAATCTACCAAATCCCCAAGTAAGTTGTTCCGATGGTTAATTACTCTCACTGATAAAAAATGTGCAACTTATTTGTTATCTCAATATATTTAGCTTCACTGAATCTTGTCATACATTTGTCTGCAACATTAAGGAGACTCTACTATTAGATGTCTCCCCTGGATCATAGAATCATAGAATAATAGAGTTGGAAGGGACCTCTGGAGGCCATCTAGTCCAACCCCCTGCCCAGAGCAGGACCAATCCCAACTAAATCATCCCAGCCAGGGCTTTGTCAAGACTGACCTTAAAAACTTCCAAGGAAGGGGATTCCACCACCTCCCCAGGTAACGCATTCCAGTGTTTCACCACCCTCCTAGTGAAAAAGTTTTTCCTAATATCCAATCTAAACCTCCCCCACTGCAGCTTGAGACCATTATTCCTTGTCCTGTCATCTACTATCACTGAGAATAGTCTAGATCCATCCTCTTTGGATCCACCTTTCAGGTAGTTGAAAGCAGCTATCAAATCCCCCCTCATTCTTCTCTTCCATAGACTAAACAATCCCAGTTCCCTCAGCCTCTCCTCATAAGTCATGTGTTCCAGACCCCTAATCATTTTTGTTGCCCTTTGCTGGACTCTCTCCAATTTCTCCAAATCCTTCTTGTAGTGTGGGGCCCAAAACTGGACACAGTACTCCAGATGAGGCCTCACCAATGTCGAATAGAGGGGAACGATCACGTCCCTCGATCTGCTGGCAATGCCCCTACTTATATATCCCAAAATGCCACTGCCCTTCTTGGCAACAAGGGCACACTGTTGACTCATATTCAGCTTCTCGTCCACGGTCACCCCAGGTCCTTCTCTGCAGAACTGCTGCCTAGCCATTCGGTCCCTAGTCTGTAGCGGTGCATGGGATTCTTCCGTCCTAAGTGCAGGACTTTGCACTTGTCCTTGTTGAACCTCATCAGATTTCTTTTGGCCCAATCCTCCAATTTGTCTAGGTCCCTCTGTATCCTGTCCCTACCCTCCAGCGTATCTACCACTCCTCCCAGTTTAGTGTCAGTTTAGTGATGTAAGTACTTAACCTTCTCTTTGTTAGAAGCTAGATAGACTAAAGAAATTCCATCTTTCTCTGTAAGGCAGGTTTTGAAGACTTCAAATAATTTAACTTTTTCCTGAACCTTTTCCCATTTGTCAGTATTGTTTCTAAAGTGCAGATACTAGAACTGGACACAGTATTTGAGTAACAGTCTCACTAAAATTGTATGCAGGTATAATAACATTGCCCTACTTCGATCAATATTCTCCCTTGCTTATACATCCCAGAATTGCATTTGCTCTCTTAACCATCTCATCACACTGAGTTCATGCACTGAAACCTACTTATAAGTAAGACACTCCCCATCTCCCCCAAGAATTTCACCATTTCACAATGTCCAGAACAGCAATTTTCATACCATAGTGCATTAAAATATGGAATTTTCATTTTACTTCACTGTAAACCAACTTTCACTATATACAAGAATTCACCATAAGAGGACATCCCTGTACTAAAGAAGAGATTCTATTGACAAAACTATTATTCAAAGCACAAGGAGCCTGATTCTCAGCAGCTGTAAAGTGGGACAGCTCCACTGACTTCATGAAACTAAGTTGATTTATGCCAGCTGAGGATCTGACATGAGGAGTACAAAATTCATTAAAATACATAAAATTGGTACTCAAGTTTTGTATGATTTGTCCACAGTGAACATATTCTTATAATCCTTCATATTACCTCTCCTTCTGAGTCATGTATAACTGAGTCTTTTAACGTGTTATTCTCTAATAATTTAAGGCATATTCCAGGACACACACCCACGTCATTTTAAACCTACTTAATCAAAGTGACACAGGTATGTATGGTAAACTAACCACAAAGTTAAAAATGTTTGAAGTGTGCATACTATACCTGTAGGTCACATATGCCAGAAGCTTTGAAAATGAAACTGCCTTGGCCAATTTCTCAAACAGATGTTTACCAGCCTCTCAAATTACACAGACATCTGTGTATCACTAAACTTCATGAATAATCCTAATAATTTTTTTAAAATATGACCTCAAATTCTGTTTCAGTTATTTCAAACTATATTTACTACCATGAAAATAAATATTTATGATATTAAATCTAAGTGGGAGTGTTAATACATGCCAGATCGCCCATGAGCGTCTCTCTCCACACTATGCAAACACCACTCTATCTCCATCCTCCACCAGCTTAAAGAGGGCTGTACGCTTCAGCACATCAGCTGGTAGCACTACCATGGTATCACATGAAGTATCCAAGAACCATAGTTCTGATTCAAGAAAGCATCCCATTAAAGGCAACACTTAAGTATGTGCTTAACTTAATGCATATGATAAAGTCCCATTGAAGTCAATGGGACTTGAGCAAATAGTTAGGTGTTATCCTTAACAGGAGAGGACTTATGGATGTGATTAAGTGGTTTTCTGAATCAGGGCCCATTTGTGGGTTTACAGATCAAACCAGTACCTTTAAGATCATTCAGAAACCAGCTGGAAGCCAGTGCAAACAACTGCACGGGAGTAACATGATAATCATTGGAAGTATTTCTACAACCATATTCTGCACCAGCTGAAGCTTGAGTGGTCTTCAGGTACATCATTCTGTAAGGTGCATCACAGTAATCCAGTCTCAAAATAACAAAGACCTGCATAAGTGGGACAAGGTCTGTGTGCAAAAGAAAGTGTCACAACCTCGTTTCCAAGCACAGCATGAAAGAAAGTACACTGCAGCTACTGTATTTGGATAGCCATAAGTAACTGAGGATACAACATGAACCTCAGGTTGCAAACCTGAATGAAAAAATTAAGGTACCATACTCTCTTAACTGGAGGAGCTAAAAATCTCTACCAGTTCTGGTTGCTTTCTCCATCCCATAAGCTGTCTTTATTTAGGCTGAGGCTCTGCCAGGTAGCTTTCATTCCAGCCCCAATCTTAGCTAGACACTGGATATGTCTAACTGCACCATCCCAATCAGATGAAACAGAGACCCAGGGAGGGGTGTCATCTGCATACACTAATGCTATTGCAGCAGACACTACTATCTCATACCCCTAACAGCCTCTTACACACACTGAATAGGAAGTGTGACAAAACAAAATCCTATGGAACCTCAAAAGAGACCACTTGGGACAGATGAGTCACTGAAATGCAACTCCATCTACTCCTGCTAGTGTCTACAGTCATGTCAACAATACTTTTGTGGCCAACAGATGATCTAAAAGAACCATAATGGATAACTAAATGAGAATTGAGGATACTTGGGACTGCTCAGGATTAGTTCCTTTATCCGTACAATAGTCTGTAATAAAAACCGCTTCTCAGTAGAATTAACCACTTCTTAAGCCTTCTTGCAAGTTCACTTTATTCAGTAAACAAGGTCAGGTCCATACAGTACACTAATTACTTGAAAATTAGGGGAAAAAAAAGTAGTTAAATTAAAGGAGCACAGAATAGTTAACAAAAGTTTATGGGAACTGGGGCTGGGGGAGTTTTTGTCTAAATTAAACACAGGACCAGAACCAAATTTACTCTTGGTCAAAGACCCAAGGTCAAGTATAATCCAATTAACATTTGTATTTTGCAAAATAAGTTAATTTTATTATTTCTTAAAACAAATAGTGATTGAGCTTGACAAGTAAAAACTAAGCAGGAAATCAGAAACACCGAACACTCACAAGAAGCTTAATTTAGTATCTGTTTAAACTTGTTTTTATGGGTGTTACCTTTTGCCACTAAATTCTTCCATTTTCTGCCAATTGGAAAGATCCCAATATGTAAGTAGATATCAATGCTGACTTAAGACAGCAAAGTGGCTCTTACTTTATAAAGGTTTTCCTTTTTTCAAATGACAGAAAAATTATTTCCTGGATTTTCTAACAAACTATGCTGGGATGGTTTCTGGAAAATTTCTGAAGAATGAAACTAGTAATGATTTGTTGTAAAAGTATGCAATAAACGGTGATGTTTTATTCCAATTTGTTTACAATACAATATATACAAAAGTGAAAGTAATCCTTAGAAACAAGCATGTAGTGTTTGAAAATAGTATAGCTAAAAACACACATATGTAATTCTTGAAAAACGTCACTGAATTGTTCACATCTTTGTTAAAAATTTACATTTTTAATCTAAAAAGATATCAGATGAGCTACTTAAAAATTTAACAACAAATTACTGCATCTATGGCATACTAGCCTATTTAATGGTATTTTGCAGTCTAAATAGCTCAGAGAATTTCTAGTTGATAATCACTGCACCTTTAAATGGGGGTGGGGCATGTTGTCTGGCTTGCTGGGGAAGAGGGAATAGCTCTTTACGGCCAAGGGTGGGAGCAAAGATCAGAAGCTGCTGCAAAAGGGGGAGTGGGTCAGCGTGGCGACACTGACTCATCCCCAGGGACCGGAAGGGCTGGGAAGTTCAAAAGGGGCAAGTCTGGCAGGAGAAGCCCCCTTTCCCCACACCAGATGGAGCAGCACCCACCCTGCCTCCCCTTGAGGGGGCAAAATACCAGATTTGGTCAGAATCTGCTGTGGGCATCGAGCTAGCTGCTCCTTTCTAAGGGAGCTGGGAAGGAATTTTTCCCTCACCACCAGATTGGCCTAGGTGGAGTAGGGGGGGTTTCCACCATCCGCACAGCTGGTTCCAGTGGGGCTTTGTCAGGGTGAGTAGGGAAGGGAGTTAGGCTGTAATGTCGCAACTCATTATGCAAGTGTCGGGCAGATGTCTAGTGCAGGTGCTCCACAGGGAAGGGATAAAGGACTTGGTAAAGGACTTAAAAAGGAGGTGTTTGTTAAAGGAGTGGAATGGGAAAGGGGAGTTAGGGGCTCCCATGTCTGGTATGGCAGGGAGCCAACCGCCTCTCTTATAGTCCACCTTAGCCCTCATTTGGGGGAGAAATGGTAAGGTCCCAGCAATGGGTTGGCGGAAGGACAAGGTTGGAAAAAGATGGGGGCTGCCAGAAACTCCCCAGGTAGATAGTGAATGAACATGGAGCTACCTGCACTATACCCTTTTATCTGCCAGGGAGTCCCAGACATCTAATAATAGAGTTGCGGCCTGATTAAAATCATATCAAGTGTTTCCTGACATTCTCTTGGTATAGCTGAACAATAGGGTCTTTGGTTATAGATTCAAATTTGGAAGGGGTTCTTGACCAAAAGCTGTTACCATTTACTGTCTGTTCAGTGGCTTATGTGAAATGAAATGGTAGCTTTGCATTCTTAGTGGACAAATGTCCCTATCTTTGCAATAGACACTTTAGTCTTCTGTCTCAACAAATATATTAAGGATTCAATGGGCCTGGAGACTGAACACCACATTCTGCAGTTAAATGGTGTGGTTCTTCCAGGTTGTCAGATCTCAGGCAAATGAGTAAAAGTGTGTGGAAGCTTGTACTGCTGCTGTCCAGCTGTAACAGTTCTGCAGGGTAGGACAAGTTGACTTTCCAAAGCAGGTGAATTCAGCAGCTTTCATCCACCCCGTATTTCAGTACCTGACACACCACCATCATAAAACAACTGATTTTTCTGGCAAGGGAAGAATTACAGTTTGTGCTCCCAAATACATACCTAACACTTTACAGAACAAATATTCATTACAAATACGGCTTGGTTTACTGAATGTTATTTTTTATAAATATTTCTGCAATGTCCTTCCGAAATATTAATAATACTTTAGCAGTTTAAAAAAATCCTGTTGACACCATGTATCCCATATAAAAAAAATATGAGACACTACAAAAATAGTCTGATAGTCCTTTGGTAAGAGCCCCTGCTACCTGAATTAACTGTTCATTAGTAGGAAGCATTTATTTAAAAGAACGGAACATGCAGGGGAGAAACTGCAGGAGGAGGTGGCAGCAACCAGACACGATAAAAAAAATTAACTTATAGCTACCCCTGCCAACCCATAATCCTTCACTTAAAGTCTTCACATCTGAGGTCAACATTATTATTTTTCCCCAAGAAAATATGAGGAATAAAAAATGGTCAGAAGCTAAAAATCAGGAGTCCCTTCTCTACTGTAACAGATATCAGACTTGCTGCCCTAGTGGTTGTGCAGAGGCTGTGATAGGAGGTCTTCACCCTGTCTCCAGGTTAGGGTAGGAGGAGAAAAAAGGGGCTCAGTGGATGCGAAGACTCCCATGTAAAAAGGGCTGCCTTAGGAACAATGTTTGCAACTAAGTCAGTGAGCTTGATCCTGCAGCCCTTACTCTTGCAAAACTCACACTGAAATATCAGTAGGAGTTCTGCCTTCATAAAGACAGTGCAGGATGAGGTTTACGGTGGGGTCCTTCAATGAGAGTTAGCTAAATGTTGTGGAGGGAAAATCAAGCACCAATGTGTCTGAAATGCCTTCAGTGCTATCACTCACATTAATTCTGTGTATCTTGGAACATGCTGCCTAACACTTGTCTGTCTTTCCAAAACAAACTACTGTAGAAAATACTAGTCCTAGCAAGGGGTTAGCCTGAAGATCTCGTCACAGAGCAATTATATCTTCAGAGGAAACTTTGGTTCAAAGTATCATTCTGTGCTAGCAAAAAAGAAAAAGCACATTGGAGCGAAAATAAATCCTAATGCAATTTTTATTTTATTCTCACTTAGCAACTAAAATCAAAATATTTTACTTAAGATATCAAAATGGATCTAACCCTCCCTACAGTTACATGTGATCAGACTGAGTAGGAGGCTGTTTAGAATTTGTCATGCTACTTGCTGAGCTCAGAAGCCTCATGAGTAAAATCCTCCCTGTAGCGAGCCCCAATGAAAAATATCTGGAAAAGGTGAGGAAAAGTAGCAACCCAGTGAAGCAAGCTAGAGTCGGGCTTTTACACATGCCACTGGAAGTACCACAGGCTTTCTAAATATTCTAGCATGCATTCACTAACAGATGATTTAGCTACTACTGTAGTCTCATTTCAGTGACAATATAATATTAACTCATTATGTAGCACCACAAAATTAAGCTGAGTCCTCTAAGGACTATCTGAATATGTTTGATACGGATTCATAATAATCTGAATTGCAAGTAGGTAAATTTATCTTACGCATACCATAAAGAGGAACAACGACCGAAACTAAACAGGATATTTCCCAACAAAAATAAAATATTCACTATGAAAAAGTATCCTGTTCCAAAGATGTGCTAAAAAACCCACAGATCTATTATGGCCCACATTACATCACCACACAAATGCCTTCCAAGTATTTATCCCCACAACACACCTGTGAACGTGGTAAATATTATTATTCCCCGTTTTACATACAGGGAACCGAGGGACAACGTGATTACATGATTTGCCTCAGGTAAAACACATGAAGTTTTGGTCAGAATAGCAAATTAGCCCCAGAGCAATTCAGCTGTATAACAGCTTAAAAAATTCCATGATAGCATCCTATTATTTATCCTCTGATGAACAGATAATTTACATGCATTCATCATTTACAAATAATAGGCCAGTGTTTCCCAAGAACATACAGTCTCGTTATAGGAAGAAAATAAAATTTCATAGTACATTTATTTACAAACAGCCACATTCTTCTTTGTCCTGTGCAATCACAGATAGGGAATTATATTCCCAAAAAGATTTCTTCACAGATATTAAAAGCAGAGAGCAGTAAAACATTAAATTTGCTAATTTATTCTAAAAAGAATCACTAAAAGAAAAATGTAATTAAAAATATCACTTACACTCCACTTAAAACATGTATGGATTGTGTCCTCAGTCCATATCCAGTGTCTCTCAAATTGGAAATAATTCCTAACACATTAATATTGGAACCTTTAGTCCCGAAGTCTTTTTCACTGTACATTATCATGTGGGGGTTTGTGAAATCCTGTTGAAGCAAACAAAAATAAAGGAAAATGTAATAAAATATTTCACTGCACTCAAGTAGCAAATATTAGCTCTTCTTGGAACTTACACCTAGAATAGGTCTCAGCGACTGAAGCTCTTCACTGTAACCACCCCAGTCTTTCCATTCCTGGTACGCGCCTTCTTCCAGCAAATACTGATGACCTGCAAATCCTGGTTTCTCGTAAGCAACCCAACTAAATATTGGGTGGAGGGAAAAAGCATATGAGAATGGAGCCTTGCGACTAAACACAGAGCTGAATTTATCTTATAATCCTTCAAAACACACTGAGATAAGACAGGTGAATTCTTTTTAAAAATAAGGAACTCCTGAACTTTGACCCTGTTAAAAGGAAGCTGTCTTTTTAATCAACCCAGACAGAAAAGGGATAAGTGAGATAAAAATCTGAATAAAATAAAACCTTTTACTAGGGTAGATGAAATGAGGAGACCTAGGTTCAAAGTCACCATAGGGTGACTATTTGCTTGGCACACCAGAGAGGGAGGCTTCCTTGTTCTCAGGATGTACATGTGCAGTACCTAGGGTAGGTTAGAGAAGCCTGTGGTGCTGCTCTAACCTACACCGGCTGGAGCAGTGCATGCTCTAGCAATGGCCTCCTTTTTACTTATGGTGGAAATGGGGTAAGGTGGAGGCACAGGTGCTGGAGGCACCAGCCCTGCATTAGCCAAGAGCTCCTCACACCAGGGGAAACCTCAGCTAGCCAGATCTGGCTGCTTTGTGAGGCTAGCGTGCCACTAGAGGTTCAGAATGCACCCCAGAATCTGGTTATTTGCATTGATCTAACACAATGAAATAGCTATGAGGACAAAGACAGCAACTGTACATTACATCTTATCTGGTGCAATTTCCAACACTATCATGTTATTATGTGTACCAGACTTTTCTTCATTCTGCAATTAGAGCTGTTTGTGGGATTTTTCTCTACTTACATTCCTTCCAACACTTTTATGGACCCCACTGATCTAAGTGGCAGTGTCTTATTTTCTCCAGATTCTTCTTTTTGCTTTTCTTCCTCAATAAGAGTGAGTATTTCTGATTCCAGTTTCATGTGTTTCCCTTCAAAGAAAGGTTTTTCGTAAATGATTACCTGTAGCAGAGGTGAGATAAAGTGGCAGTTACTGAAAAGGTGCATTAGTTACAAGTTTTGACAGCAGATTGACTTTAGGTGCACAGCACAAAATGAACGAAGGATCAGACTTTGAAACTAATCGGTGGCTCTCTATACTGGCTCAGGAGTCTGCCCTAAGATTTATTATCCAGTCACTGTATAAGCGAGTGCTGTGCCATCATACATGTGATTAAGGACTGGTAATTAGGTATGACAAAAGTTGCAGGATCATAGTGTTTCAGCACCATGCATACACAGCCCAGCCACCACATCAGTATTCATGATATCGCCATGGTAAAGGAGTGTGTGTGTGTTCGGTTGCCATGTTTAAAAGAGCTGGTCTCATGGTGATTAAATTAAATATAATATAGACATTGTTTTTTACCTTTGGCTCTTCAATGGATTCAACTTTGCGGCCACCCTAAAAAAAGTTACAAAAATAAAAAATAAACTTGTTTGTAATAAATTTACATATGCATAACTATTTTACAGAAAACAGTCTTCTTTAAGATGAAATTTTTTTCGAAGTCCACAATATCAAACTCAAGAAGATTAAACACTTACGGGTGCAATTAAGGGTAAGAGTCCAAGGACCTTTAAACAGCACTATATACTACTTTGAAAGTCACTATGTTTTATAGTTTATTTTTGTGAATCTTGCAGAGTTTTGTGACACTAATGTTATTGTTAACATACTAGCTCTAATTATTTTACCATTTTCAAGGGTCTCAGGGACCTAATGTATGCTTCCTTCTTCTCCCAAAATGCTAAGTTAGGATATTCACCAGGCTCCAACATTAAAGGAATTCCCTGGAAACCAGGTTCTTCAAAAATCAGCCATCTAGATTAAGACAAAATAAAGTTAAATAGTTCAGTGTTTCTGAATTACAATAAACATCAATGTAATGCTCATACAGGATCTTACAACAGAGGCCATTATCCATTAAAAGAAAGTAAATACAGGACCACATTTGTCAGGATGCCACCAGCCTGAGAATAGATATGTTAGCATATACTTCTATGCCTGTGCAGAGTCCAGTCTGGTTTGCTCAGGTCTGCTCTTGTTGACATAGCTACCACCTCTCGGGGAAGTGGATTAACTATGCTAACAGGTGAGCTCTCCCCCATCAGTGTAGAAGCATCTTCATGTAAATGCTACAGGGGCACAGCTGTATCAGTGCAGCTGTACCGATGCAGTGTTTTAAGTGTAGACCTGCCCTACCAATGGTTCTGCGCTTGTTTGCTGGATTAGGGCCCAAGGAATTTTCACAATAGTTAACATATGTTTGGGGATTTGACCCTGTTGGGTAACAGGAGTTTCAGATAATGACTGAACTTTGGAGAGTCAAGCCTGTATTATTGTCTATTTACTGGAGACATATTTTTGTATTTAAAAATGGATTTTATGGGTACAGAATTAATTTTTTAAGTGAGTTAAAGAAGATCCTCAACAACCTAGAGCCAGATTCAGTGCAAATGCTATCCAGCTTTCATGACGTATCAGACAACTGCAGATTTTTGTTTTTGTTTTTTTTTTGTTTTGTTTTGGTTGGTTTTATTTTCCCCACTATTCATTAAAAAGTTCAAATAGCTCAGAAACGAGATCCAAGTATTTTCACAAAAAGAAAAGGAGTACTTGTGGCACCTTAGAGACTAACCAATTTATTTGAGCATAAGCTTTCGTGAGCTACAGCTCACTTCATCGGATGCATACTGTGGAAAGTTTAGAAGATCTTATTATATACACACAAAGCATGAAAAAAATACCTCCTCCCACCCCACTCTCCTGCTGGCAATAGCTTATCTAAAGTGACCACTCTCCTTACAATGTGTATGATAATCAAGGTGGGCCATTTCCAGCACAAATCCAGGTTTTCTCACCCCCCCCCCACACTGAGTTTGTGTGTGTGTGGGGGGGGGTGAGAAAACCTGGATTTGTGCTGGAAATGGCCCACCTTGATTATCATACACATTGTAAGGAGAGTGGTCACTTTAGATAAGCTATTGCCAGCAGGAGAGTGGGGTGGGAGGAGGTATTTTTTTCATGCTTTGTGTGTATATAATAAGATCTTCTAAACTTTCCACAGTATGCATCCGATGAAGTGAGCTGTAGCTCACGAGAGCTTATGCTCAAATAAATTGGTTAGTCTCTAAGGTGCCACAAGCATTCCTTTTCTTTTTGCGAATACAGACTAACACGGCTGTTACTCTGAAACCCAAGTATTTTCACAATCAGCAGTTTCTTGGTTCCAGGCACAAAGTAGTTTCCCAGAATTGGCTCTTTAGATCTTTCCCAAAGTAGAGTCTCTATACTGTTAGACTTGTCTCTGCTTTGTTGCATCCTCTTCAACACTTTGCATTTCTTAAAAGGGGGGGGGGGAAACAGTAAGGGGGATTGTTTTTGTTTGTAAATAAAAACTAGGGTGACTAAATGTTCTGTAAGAGTCTATACACCATTTCCTTCTTCTGATTGTCAACAAGCTACTCTGTGCATTGTGCAAAATAGTTACTCAAATTCCTATTTTCTGTGGTAAGATATATACACAAATATTTAATTCCACTTTCACTCCAAGCGGCTCAAGGAAGAGTCCCCAGATTTGTCATTCAAATATGTATAGAAAGAATATAGTACAGATTGACCCTCTTCTTGTCCATTATTTGCATTTTTATAAAACCATTAATCATCACTCTCAGACAGTCTAAATGCAAGGCTTACAAGTCTGCTTTCCCAAATTAGGTGGAGCATAATAACTTTGATATTTTAATACAGTTGCTGAAATATGATTAAAACTCTGGTCTTGATATGTTGTTGAAAGATCAAAACTATTATATGTCACTATTTAGTGGCATGTTTAGGGCACAGCCGGTTCGAAAATGATCCCTCCCCCCAGGAAAATGTCAACTGTTCAAGGTTTACAGGATTTTATTTTTGTGAACACAAACAACTTTTGGCTAAAAATCATTATGGGAACTGTAGTCCAGTTGGAGAAGCCAGACTTTACAGCAGAATTCAGGCATGAGGCACAACAATGGCATTTCCAAATAAAAACTATTCGTTTAGGGGTTTTTTGTTTGGTTGGTTTTTTTGGGGGGGGGAGGGGGGTTGATGAAAAGTCAAAATTTGCACAGAAAATTAATTTTCTGAGAAAATCTCATTTAGTCAAAAACTGGGTTTTCCACCCAAAACAGTTTTGAGGGGAAATGTTTGATCAGTCCGAGTTTAACCCATAAAGTCATGACCCGTAAGTGTGAAAGATAATGAATAAATATCTTTAGTTTAGGATCAACTTGGTTTTAGAAATTCCAGTACTTCATTTGTCCACAAAAGGTATAACACTGGCAGCCGTAGTATAAATGTGTGACCACACTTCCCTACCAATGTGTTTCAGTTCTAAAGTCAGAGTTAAGAAACTCAATCCTTGCCTTCTCACTGGGTTTACAGAAGAAACTGAACTTATTGGCAGAGATCTCTCCATATAGGCCTGTCTTTCTTATGTGAAGTTGATACTAATTAACATGGGGACCACAGCAGGAAATTGGGACTCTTCCATGACACACAAGAAATGACAATGAAGACTGGGCACAGAATGAGGAAAAATATGACCTAAGCTCAATTTAATAAGGAATGCCAGCTCATAAATTTAAAAATGTAGGAAAATATAGAAGGAAAATGCAATACACAGCTTTAAGCTTTGTGATGCTTCCTAATATTCCTAACCCTTGAAATATCTTTAGTCACTGAGCTTCTCCAATGCATGTAGCCTGAATGTGTATTAAATGGGAATTTGTGCACTGGAGCAAGCTTAAAGGAGATTATACTGACAGAATGTTCTTGGCCAATATTCTTCTGTTTTCCTTGGCTTGTACGTATTTTAATAAGAGTTAGCACTGTCCATTTGCTCCTTTTGCTTGATCGTGCAGTAAAGCTGAAGTCATGTTCAGAATACTATATTTTACCACTATTGAAAGATCTTTACCCAAAAGGTTACTCCACTGTAGGATCAAAACAATATCCTACATATATTTATTGGGCCAAATTCTACCCTCAGATTGCACCTATGCACAGCCCCATTTGGTTCAAGTTGGAGAGAATCGTCAATAGTTTTCTTAATAAATTAAATCTAATGAATAGCATTCTTTAGTAAACGCTTTAAATACCTGAAGTGGCGTGAAATAGGTCCCCCTTATCACCGACACCCCGCTACAGCAACTATTGCTCGTCTCACACGATTTTTTTTTTTTTTGGTCTTGATTCCCTTTCCTACTTAGCCAGAAGGCTCACTCTTGGGAATTAGCTTTGCAGTTTGTCATTGAGCCACACTGGACTGATGCCTTCATAGAATCATAGAATATCAGGGTTGGAAGGGACCTCAGGAGGTCATCTAGTCCAACCCCCTGCTCAAAAGCAGGACCAATCCCCAATTAAATCATCCCAGCCAGGGCTTTGTCAAGTCTGACCTTAAAAACTTCTAAGGAAGGAGATTCCACCACCTCCCTGTACTTTTCAGGACTGAGATCATAAGGATCCTGTCCAGGAGCTGACCGGTATGCAGTACCTGGCTTGTACTGAAGTTTCCTTCAAAGTACTACAGTAGTCAGCAATAGTCATATAGCACCAAACCAACATAGTCACACATTCCTATCAAGGACAACTGTATTGTGTTCAATAATCTAAGACTAATAGATGTAGCTTTATTCATGTTCTTCAGGTATTAATTAATGGTATGTTACAGAGATGTACTGACTTCAATAAAGCAGTTAGTTAATCCCAACACTACAATAATTAATATAGTGTGTATATACAGAGATACACACACGTTTGATTGCTTTGTACACGGGTTCTCAAACTTCATTGCACCGGGACCCCCATCTGACAACAAAAATTACTACATGACCCCAGAAACGGGGAATGAAGCCTGAGCCTGCCCGAGCCCCACTGCCCTGGGCTGGGGGAGGGAAGGCAAAGCCGAAGCCCAAGGGCTTCAGACCCAGGCAGAGAGCCTGTAGCCTGAGACCCACCACCTGGGGTTGAAGCTTTGGGGCTTGGGCTTTGGCCCCGGGCCCCAGCAAGTCTAACACCAGCACTGGCGACCCTATTAAAACAGGGTTGCGACCCACTTTGGGATCCCGACCAACAGTTTGAGAACAGCTGACTTAGTATTTACATGTAGGATAGCCTTTCAAACAGATAACCTTTTAGTGCAGTGGTTTTCAACCCTTTTTCATTTGTGGACTCCTAAGAAAATGTCAAATGGAGGAACGGACCCTTTTGGAAACCTTAAGCATAATCTGCAGACCCACAGGGGTTCGCAAATCACAGGTTGAAAACAACTGTTTTAGTGAGTGACCACACTAAGTGACCAGAAGTAAAATTTTTCCACTGAATGCATCCGATGAAGTGAGCTGTAGTTCACGAAAGCTTATGCTCAAATAAATTTGTTAGTCTCTAAGGTGCCACAAGTCCTCCTTTTCTTTTTGCAGAAGTAAAACTGTATGTTTGCATGTCTGACGGCTATAACCAACAATTTTAAAACAAATTCCTTTTATATCAACATATATACACATGAAACTATATACTTACATGCCCCAATGTACTTTTATAGAACAAGTCTTCTGTGTTGTGCCAAATATACCGGTTTCCTCAGTGTCATCAAAAAATGAAGTTACAGTTCCCAGCCCTTCTGGTCCTGTAAACAGGTCAATTTGGCAAACCCTGTAATCCTGGAAAAATGGTAATTCTGTATTGTAGCACCATTTTTTATTGCTCTGATATAATTTATTGTAACTAAATCAATTTTTAAAACACTTCTGCTGTTCATAAGCCATTTACCCTATTCTATCTCAGTTACAGGTGTATGGATGCCTGTAGGTGAAATGTGGTGAGGCTGGTGATTTTTCCTCTCTCCACGTGTTGAAATCTCTCTCAATGATTCTCAAATCTAACTTTTCATCCCTGACTTTTCTGTCACCTGTGCAGGCATGCATCTCCCCTTGGTCTCTTCTATATGTTGTTTGTCTAATTAAATATGAGGATAACACTAAAGAGAAAATTCTTTAACAGAATCCTAATTTTTTAAAAAGCCTATTTACAAATCAAGCATGCCTCCTTTTCCCTTCCAAACATTGTTACAGCTTATAGTAGAGGTTGGCAAACTTTTTGGCCTGAGGGCCACACTGGGGTTCCAAAACTGTATGGAAGGCTGGGTAGGGAAGGCTGTACCTCCCCAAACAGCCTGGCCTCCACCCCTTATCCGCCCCCTCCCACTTCCTGCCCCCTGACTGCCCCCCTCAGAACCCTCCACCTATCCAGCGCCCCCGCTCCTTGTACCCTGACCACCCCTCCCAGGACCCCACACCCCTAACTGCCCCCCTGGGATCCCACCCCCTATCTAAGCCCCCCCCACCCCCGCTCTCTGTCCCCTGACTGCACCGACCCCTATCCACACCCCTGCCCCAACAGGCCCCCCGGGACTCCCATGCCTATCCAACCACCCCATTCCCCGTCCCCTGACCGCCCCTCCCCAGAGCCTCTGCCCCATCCATCCGCCCCTCCCCAATCCCTGTCCCCTGACTGCTCCCTGGGACTCCCTGCTCCTTATCCAACCCCTCTGCTCCCTGCCCCCTTACCATGCCGCTCAGAGCAGCAGGACTGGCAGCTGCGCCACCCAGCCAGAGCCAGCCATGCTGGTGCGCTGCCCGGCAGGAGCTCGCAGCCCCACCACCCAGAGTGCTGGCGGCACGGTGAGCTGAGGCTGCGGGGGAGGGAAGGATAGCGGGGGAGGGGCTGGGGATAGCCTCCCCAGTCGGGAGCTCAAGGGCTGGGCAGGACGGTCCCGTGAGCCAGATGTGGCCTGCGGGCCATAGTTTGCCCACCTCTGGCTTATAGCCTATTTTGGCAACCTTCAAATGGCAAGACTTCTGAATGATACCTTAGAACACACATAATAAGTTGCATACGCTAATACCGTGTACATAAAAACCCACAATTTGTGGTGGCTATAGATATTTGTTAATGCAAATCTGGGTTTGTGGGTGTGCACTAGAATGTATGTAAATTGGGTGCACATAAAAAAATGTATGTTACATTCGATGTACTTATTGAACTTTGGAGTTTTTATTTTTAATCAATTTGCAAAGCTTATACTGCATTTTAAATTTCTACTATGTTTTGAGGAATTAAGTAATGATAAGTATCAAGGAGTAGGTCTCCTTTCTCCCCCACCCTACTAGTACATACTATCAGAGTTGCTACTGCAATACACCACCAATTATTTTGTAATTAACCCACAGAATCATTGCATAAAACTCAAATGTGTCTCAAACACCCATACTTTAAGTAATGATATGCTTCGTGTATTAATAAATCAGTTTCTTGACATCAGAATTATTTATGCCAATAGAGGAAACAAACTCTGAAAAATATTTAAGAATTGAACAAGAATAGATTATATTACTTGCCTTTACTACATGTTTAATTGAACCAATCACTGCAGACTTAGAGTTATATTCATCTTTCTCTTCAGAAGTATTTTCACCCCAAATATTATCGAGTTCCAGTTCTCCTTCCTCCAGAGGAATAGAGGGTCCTTCAAAATTTGGTTTCTCATATAGAATCCAGCTAAAGAACAGAAAATTTTCCCCTTCATACTTTTCATGATGACATTTTAACTAATCATGATTTTCTAAAAGATATGCTCTAGTTCAACCACAACTATTCTACTTGAAGGAAGAATTAATTCAGAGAAGTCATATGTTCTGGGTTATGCAGGAGATCAGACTAGATTATTCCTTCTGGCCTGATAACCTATGATATATTCTCATTAGTATAGAGATTTAAAAAATGTGGACAGCATTGTATATAAGTCCAAATGTTGTTTATGTTTATTACAAAAAGCTTTCCCGCAAAATACAAAACATTGCCCATGAAAAAGTCGTTTAGTAAACATAAAGCAGCCATGAAACCAGGGTGGAAAAAAATCAATGATTTAAAAAAAAAATGGATTTTTTTATTTAAAAATTGTATTTTTGAGGAAAAAAACCTATCCAAATATAGTTTTAATTAAGATACATTATTGCTCAAAGATATCTCATCATGGAATAGGGATTATAAATTCTAATTCTATAGTATGAGACAATATATTCATGTAATGTTTAAGAAAAGTTTTGTAAATGAGTTTCAATAGTTCATGAATTAGGGACCCAACCTTATGGGGTTCCAGGGGCTTCTGCACAGATTATTTAGGTTAAACTTTCTATTTACCCAATGGGACTCAGTGCTCAGTCTAGAAGATACCATCAGAGATGCTTAGTTTTGCAGTTCTCAAACTGTGGATTTGGGTCTCCAGAGATAACATGCTTGTTAACAGCAAAAATGTTTTAAAATATATAAATAAATAATATATAAAGGTGAGAAATAACAGACCTCAATCCTATTGTCCCTCTGCAAATTTGTGTACACACAGTCAATCCCATACCTCTCTCTAAAAGTGCAAAGTTTCAAAAAGTTCACTGAATAGAAGATAGTTGCGGGCGGAATAGATCTGGACAAGGAGGAGAAGTCTGGAGATAAATGTGAGAAGGGAGAGACAGGCAGTAGAAACAAAGGTGAAACTGTTTGAGCAGCATATTCCAGAAGTGTTGAGGTCTTTCTGACTGTAGCCTTCATTGATTTGAGATCTACCATACCATTCTCTCACTAGAAGGGAAACCTATAATGGTAGCAGGCTGTAAAAGAGACCTACTTTGGGTGTCATCTATCTCATGTATCTCTGAGTTGTAAAAAATATGTATTAAGGTTATAACAACCAACAAGAATGCACTTTTATGTAGAAATCCATGATTAAATCAAGTCTTCCTGACTAATGATTTAAATCAAATCCACCCTGCATGAAACACATGAGTTTTCTATCATGCTGGGCTGCATTTACCAATTCTCCACTTAATAAAAGCTTCTAATAAAGCATCTTATCTAAGAGACTATATCATACCCTTAAGCATCAGCTACCCATTGCGGTCTTGCTTTACCAAGCTATATGATGAGCTATCCTTACATTTACAGTTAAAAAACATAATGCTTTCCATAATTAGCTGTTTAATAAAATGTTAATGCAATCTTCAGTCTGTCTTAAATAATCAAATGCAAAGAAATGTGCATCATACTATTATGCCTAGGCAAAGTTGAGGCACAAAAACAATGGTGATTTTAAATAAACATACTAAATACCAAGACACAACAGGTGTAATAGTTAAGAAAGGACAGAAGCATTAACTCTGAAATTCTTTTCCAATACAACTGATCAACTGGAGACAATAACTACACCAAAAGTTGCTGACACGCAAGTTACTGTCCAGTGTTCATTTTTAATGTTCTTTTAAAAATACAAATACCTATTGATGGCATTGCAATTTCATTAGAAAGTGCTTGACACTTTTATATTGGTGCAATCTGGGATGGTAAGAATACTTGCTTTAAAACAACACTTTCTACGTTCACATCTAATGCCAGAATTTGTGTAAATCTCTAACTATATGAAAAGATGCATTTTATTGTCTAAACTCCTCACATCACCAATTTGGTAGTAAAATATAATGAAGCAACAGGATCTGATGGGATATGAAACGTCTGTCTAATAATACCACACTTACCATAAGGTATATTGTGAGGCATGAGGACAAAGGCTGAGTGTCTTCTGTCATCGTGTGTGGGGATATAGACAGAGTGATCATTTACTGAAGTTATTGCAAAAGGATTTGGTTGAGAGAAAATTATTTTGTAGAGGAAATTCAAAGTGCTTTCTGTTGGTTTCCAGGACTCCACATCATGGCCACATTATATCACTGTGGTGTAGGGGTTTTTTGTGAACAATGAGATAACTACTTTTGCATATGCTATGTAGAAAGGGATATTAAAATGAAAAAAGGAGGACTACATGAATTTTATGGCAGCGTTAAACTGCCCAAAGGCTTTTATATTTGGTAATTAGTCCAATATGTAAACTAAAGTATGCAAATTAGATTGCTTTTAAACACAGATTAGTGATGTAGAAGTTGGCAAAAAAATCTGTAACTTGCAAATTACACATATGTGACATCAAAAACAGCTAAATCTATTAAAGAAAAATTTGTTAATGAAAAAATATTGCATCTTGGCTGTTAGTGTGCGAAGTCCGTCTGGGAAACTTTAAATAGACTGAGTTTTAACCTCTTACCTACTGTATGCCCCTTCGAGGAAACAAAGATTTAAGAGAAATGCACACAGATTTCTAGCTGACATGATGTCACCATGATCATGCTTTACTATGCTAACACCCTCCCCGCAACTCTCAATAATGCAATTCACTCCAGCCAGGCAGATCCTTGCACCCTCTTGGAACCCCAGCTGCCTACAGTTAATTCCATGCTACATATCATTGGCCTCAACAGGGCTCTGGTGGGTGCAGAGGTTTGCCTTCAGGGACGTGTAAAGATCCTGTCTACACTGGATCAGCAATCATGTTTGCTAAAACAGTTGCATATATGGTATAAAACCAGCTCAGGATATCCCAGTTGGCTGGACAATGGGCACAGTTTGGAAGCCATGTACTAGGTTAGAAAGGGTCTAATATTAGAACACTGTTTCTTGATTTGGTTTGGCCAAAATGTAACGGACAATCAAAATATGGTTAAATTGACTAAGCTGAAACAGTACTGCAGTGGAGTTACAAATTGGTTCTGTTCCCTTTGTTCCTAGCCTCATGGATATGGGGCAAAATCATGTGGAGAAAAATTCCCATCTTACCATCCTCGGATGACTTTAACTAAAATCACTGATGACAGCACCCAAGAGCTGCAATCCAAAACATCATTAAAAACTTCTATACCATTCTTGTGAGAGTTTGATTCACTATATATCACCATCTGTATCAAAAAACAAACAAACAAAAAAAACACATGAGCATTATATATCACCATTTTTAATCTAACAGGGAACAGTAGTCTGTAACAAAAAATAGAAAATATAAACCTTACCTTGCCAGGTCTGGGATTGATTTTATTTTGGCTGTTTCCTGAAAATGCCTGATAGGGGAGAAAAAAAAACAGGAATAGATATTTAATAGAGAGTGTAATTTTTCCATTACAAAACAATAAAATAATTAAGTATGTTCTCATTTGGTATTATATAAATTGATTTTAATTTTGTTTCCAATTTCTCCTACTGAAGACCACTTCGTCACACGTGCACAAATGTTATACTAGTCGAAGTGTTGCCTGTGGACCAGGTAGCCTTGAAAATCTTGCTGGCCAGCTTTCCAGATTTTCCAAAGGTGTTCCCACAGACCACTTAAATTGGGGTTGTGCTGGAATTACAGAAGCATATGCTCTACAATTAAAAAGTAAAATGTTTTTTGTATAGAGATACTATGGAAAAAATGCTACAAAAATTATTTTTTAAAAAGCATATACAAATATTGTAAAGATTAGATATGCTGGCATATAAAAATAAACATTTAAAATACTCAGCACAATCATTTTCTTATGGACATCTTTTAGTTATAAAATGTGGATTTATAAATTTAAAAGAATATGTGAGAACACCAGGAGACTAAACAAAAATATGCCAGACAAAACAGTCAAACTACACTTTGAGTCAGAAAACATACAATTTTAAAAGCCAACATTTTAAACCAATGTTGAACTAAGTGATAGAGAATATGCAATAAAGCTGTAATTATATATTGTGTTTCTAAAGAACGGAAGAAAATGTTAACATTTTAATATATTTATATTGCACTAATACCCATGGACCAAGACCCTATCATCTTCAGCAGTGGAAAAAGAACAAAAAGACATCCCCTGCCCCAAAGAGTTTACAATCTAAGTAAAAGACAACACACCACAGATGGATAGACAGACAGACTGCAAAGTGCAAGGAAACACTGAGACAATGCTGGTGAGCATGACAGGCATTGGTCTCAGAACACCAGCTGCCTAACGACTGCTCATTTTTTATAGGCATCATCATAATGAGTTGAGAATACTACTGCAGGCCTGGTTTTCTAGCTTCTGATTAAATTCCAGTCAGTATTTGCCCAGTTTAAGGTTATTTTTTGTTGCTGTCCTTATATTCCTTTCCTTTACGCTGCTTATTAACTTTATTATCAAGCTTAGTCAAGAGAACATGTACAACAGGTCCACTTCATACAAATAAAACAATTTTCTCTTCCTCTCCTAAGGAAGATAAAGTAAAAAAAGGCCCCAGTCCTACAAAGGGAGATTCATGGAGTCCTATGAAATCCATGGGAGTAAGTTTTATGTGCCTACATTGATCTTTTTGTGGGATCAGGACTGTATGCTTGTTAAAAACATTCCATTTAACCCACTGGCAGCAGAATAAACATGGATGGGTAAGTAACCACTGAAATATCTTTAATCATTGAGCTTCACAATCTATTTTAGAAATCATCACATTAGAAAAGATCAGAGCAAGATCTTTCTTCTCCTCGCAATGTAAATCGAAACTACTACAATACTCAAACTAATCTGTAACCTTGAAACATTTGACAAAAGTCTCAACTCTGATGGAAAGAACACCCAACCTTAATAGTGCAGGACAGTGCTTTCTGCTTCCTTGGGGAGGTGGGGGGGGGGAGGGAGGGGGAGAAGAGAAACAGCTAATGGAACAGCCTTCCAAGTGCCCCACACTACTATTTTTTTAAAAAAAAGATTAAGCACTGTGGTGGATACACCAAAGAGAGCAGAAAAATTATTCAGTTTTGAGAAGTACTTCCTGGTTTTCTGTATTCTCCCTCAATTCTATACACCATTTTGAGGAGACTATTAAATTTGGGAGCTCACAGCTCCGCTACTCTCCTTCTTTCCCACCACCTACTGAATGTACTTTGCCTTTTTGGTATCGGTGGGAAATATTTTTGAATGTTAGAGGTCTGTAGCAGTAGAAATAGTTGTACATTTATTCATAGTTCAGACAGCAGTAATGTGAGTTGATCCTAACATGTAGTGCAACAGAATGTTACTAAGGGAACAAGCAGGTCTGCCCTTCCCTTAAATTAACTTTAAAAATCAAGTTAATATGTGTGGATGCTTCCCATGAATACCCATTCTGTGAATAGATAAAAGGACTTCAATATCCAGGGCTATTAATCCAGCACCTTTCACCATCACTACAATGCCATTTTTAAAGTCTCCTTAAAAATTATGACTACTGCCCTAAATATGAGGAGTAAGGAAGCCTGACCCATTATTCTGCAGCAGTGGAATGGCCCTGTGTCTTGTTGGGGAGGGAAGCAGTGCATATCAAAAAGGAGTGGATGTCTTCAAAAGTCTACAGAATTGAGAAAGAAAACGGAAAGTATTCTACTGATTTACAGAAGTAAATCAGAACAAGCTTTATTTAAAAAAAGGGAAAGTGAGGATTCAGAACAGAACGTCTAGTGTTTGATTATTATTTATTAAGATTCCTAGGATAAGGACACATTGTAGAATCATCAATAAGGGAGACACACACACACACACACACACGCACGCTATCATTGCCACATTTAGCCACTCTTCTAAACTCACAATTTATGTACTTCGCTACTTGGAAGGAAAAACAAGTCAAATTGTGTGTACTGAAGATAACATGAAAACTGAATAACTTTTCAAACCACTTAGAAGAATTGCAACATGCTCACCTCTCCGTCTAGAAAGCCAGAAGGGATATTTGGTTCACATGAGCTAGACTTTAACCAGCTTGAGAAATTTTTGCCAGTGCTTCCATAGTTTGGCATTTGTGAATTTAGTGCTTCTTTTGCATCATCTGTTTGCAAATATTTTTCCATGTAATTTGGAACTTTTAAACCTGAAAGAGACTGAATTGCAAAATCAAAATTAAAGGGTTTTTTGTTGTTGGTTTTTTGGTTTGTTTTTTGTTTTGTTTTTTAACAGCCAGGCAGGGTTTCATAAGGTTTAATTTTCTGAATTATTTAGTTTTATTACCTCAGAGTTTTGAGGCATGTCAAATGGTCTGACTGCATCAAGTGGTAAAGCAGGCATCTCTGAGGAGTCAGTTGAGAAAGTTGTTGTAATAGTATTTACTGAGGTTACAGAGGGAGTAAACACCTTTCCTTTAGCTGTAGATGACAGCAAGCTTGAGAAGACAGCGCTTTTTTCCAGACGGGACCTCTTAATTTCACCATCTGTACTATCCCGGTTCTGCATTTTAAGTTGTAGGGCTGGTGCTAGATCTTGTGTTTTTCCTCTCTTTATTCCCAAACCCAATGTAAATACACTGGGATCAAATACTTTCTCTAAGTTGTCTTCATGAATTGGAGGCATTGCAAAATGGGGTGCAGGGAAATTTGGAAGCTTTGGCCTTTTCTTCTTCTGGGGTATGCAAACTGAGCTGTCTAGATTTTTGATAGTTTCTGTAAACTTTTTCATGTCAGAAGGGGAATCAGAAATACTCTCATCTTTACCAGGAGAAATATTACCAGTGTTACTTGGGCTTTGCTGTATATTGATAATATTTTGCTCTAATGTCCGTATGTTTTCTAAATTGCCTTTGTTACACTGCATGTTTGTAGAAATTGGCTCTCCTGTTTCTGTCTTTTTGCCTTCATTTTGTATCTGAAAAAGCACATTCTCCTCTAATTCGGATTCTTTGGAAACTACATCAGATTTTAGGGGACATTTATCATCTTTACAAGGAGATGAGATCTCTCTGTTTGATAACAGTATTTTTTCTTCTCTGTGGTGGAATTTTGAGCTTGCATTAATTGCTCTATTAGCATTTTCTTTTAAGGTTTCATTTTTGTTGGCATCTTGTAAAGATGTTATAGGTAACAAACTGTCTTTATTAATAGCGGTAGCTTCTACATCAGCTTGTCTTAAAGAGCAAGCATTAGCATCTGCTTTGCTTGTTTGGTTAAACAGCGATCCTGCAACTTTTCCTTTCTTCAGTTCTGCTGCCTTTTCAACCTCCTCATTAACGGACGTTCCTACTTGAGAGCCTTCTTCAGGTTTGGTCTTTATTTCTGCTGAGCCTTCTTTCACCCGTGGCACATTTTCAGGTAACTTCAGGTGATTGTTTTGCTTATTAATTATTTTATCAGTTTGTTCATATTCCTGGGGTTGTTTTCCAAATTTCAGCTTTGCTCTACCAACAAATGTATTTGATACAGTGTTATTTTTCAAAGCAGGGACATCAGAGGGTCGCTGGCACTGATTAGCACGTTTATTTTCAAACAAGGAAATTTTGTTGGCAATGCTGCTGTTAATTTTATTAACTGGCTTTTCAAGAGAATCGTGATCACTTTCTAGGTCTTCAAGACTTTTAGGAGCTTTAAAATTCAGTTCTACATTCTTGGGTTTGGCAGGACTGCAAGAAGCACAGTGAAAGTTATTTTGCAATGTATGCTTAAGTAGAATCATTGTATTAATTTAAAAATAAGAAATAAAACACAGTTTCATAACAATATATTTTTCCAGTATCAATATTCAGTTTAAGTTACAATATTCCAAAAGGATTTCATAAAAAGAAAGGAATAATAACTGTGCTACCAACAGTAACCCAAAGTCAGGAACAACGTACCAGTATTTCATAATGTCAAACAAAGGATTGCGCATCTGGCTGGTCGAAAAATATCTGACTAGTCAAAAATAGCTGACTAGTCAAATATTAGTCAAACATTGTCAATCATCATCAAATATGGTCAAATATTTTAAAGCACTGATTTATTAGAATACTAAGAAAAAAGAGCAAAACTTTATGATCTTTAATAGGCTTAGCCTTAGATAGGTACTTATGCCTAATTACAAAAAAACAAGTTATTTAACAGAGTTAATTTAATTCAGAAAAGTGAGAAACGCAATGAAATGAAGTTCTGAAAAAATGTAAGAATGGCACTATGATGCAATGAAAAAGGTAGGCCGACACCTACATCAGGGCATTCTTGCTGGAATATCTGACAATATTTTACCATGATCAAGTAATACAGTCAACTGACATTATTTGACTAGCTTACCAAACTTAAACACACACACACACGCAAAGTTCCTAACAACATTTGGTAGATAAACACAACAGTGTATCAGATAGCCAAACACTCCGGAGAATTTCCACTATTTACATATCTCAAAAGTCAAAGTTTAACAGTGGAGACAACTAATTGAATTCTTTTTTATAAGCCAGATACATTTTTAGTGTAAATCGAGGTGGGCTTTAATAAGAATTAATTTATTTCATTATTTTCCTGTTTAAACTTGGAATACATTGAAAGAGTTTCATTTCACCCAACCTTTTTTAAAATATGAAATCAACCAAAACTACTACTTGATACCCAACATCACATTCTCTGATTTATTTCCCCCTGAAATATACCTGTTAAATTGGGTGGTAAAAACATTTTCTCCAATTATGAATTTTGTTTGGTAATTTACAGTGAAGTCTGAAAAGTTTTGTTAACTTTGGTTTCTAAACACAAGATGACAAATTTTCAAGGTCAGATTCTGAGCTGTGCTTCTTAGGAGGTTCAGCCTGGGCAGTCGGGAGCAAAGGCTTTACATCACCTTTCTGGCTCCCAAAATCTTGGTTGATTATGTTGAACTTTCTCTGGGGCTAGTCTAACACACCGAAGCTTCACTCAGCTGTCTATGGGCCATCCTGCAGCCAAGAACAGCCAGAGCAGAGTGCTCTGGTCACACTCCATCCAATGCACTCTACATAAGGGACTGCGAAGGAGATAGCGTAAGACTGTTATGCTGGCAAGGAACCTCTTTGCAAAACGGAGGAGGATGGGGAGAGAAGAAATTCCTGGCAGGACAGGGGGAAAGTCTGTTTTCAGGCCCTTTTATGGTACAGGAGCAATGTAAAGAGGTCAGAACACAGTAAAGAATTAGGGCATAAATCTTCAAAACTTGTTAGAGTTGAAGTGTTAACTGACCCATTCTCCCCTCAGTGATCGGTTCCCTAAACATTACAGGGAGTTACACGCATGCAGTGATGAGAGCACACACACAGTGTGTGTAAATGCACTACATGAAATCTGGCGATTGTGGGAGATCACCGATCAGCTCCCAGCAGGCTCTTAAGAAAAAAAAAAAGAGACAGGTGAGGTCTATACATGATCTTTTGGCATACACTCATGCTTATCTGTTTGGATAGAATACTATTCACTAAATTGAATAGGAATTGACAGAGGTGGTGAGTACAAATGAGTTTATGTGGATAGCCTATATAGCACAGCAAATGTCATCTGTTTTGTAAGAAGTCCCTCTACCAACACAGACATACTGATAACAGAAACTTGTTCAGATATGATCACAACTAGAAGGTACATAAGTTTCATCAATGTAGACTCATAGACCTTCAGGCCAGAAGGGACCATCATGATCATCTAATCTGACCTCCTGCACATTGCAGGCCACAGAACCTCACTCCTATAATAGACCCCAACCTCTGTCTGAGTTACTGAGTCCTCAAATCATGATTTAAAGACTTACAGTTACAGATTTCAGAGTAGCAGCCATGTTAGTCTGTATCCGCAAAAAGAAAAGGAGTACTTGTGGCACCTTAGAGACTAACAAATTTATTTGAGCATAAGCTTTCGTGAGCTACAGCTCACTCCATCGGATGCATCAAAGCTTATCCTCAAATAAATTTGTTAGTCTCTAAGGTGCCACAAGTACTCCTTTTCTCTTTAAAGTTACAGAGAATCTGCCATTTACACTTGTCTTAAACCTGAAAGTCACCAATGCCCCATGCTGCAGAGGAAGGCAAAAATCCCTTAAGGTCCCTGCCAATCTGACCCAGGGGAAAATTCCCTCCTGACCTGAAATACGGCAAATCAGTTAGACCCTGTACATGTGGGCAAGACCCACCAGCCAGACACCTGGGATAGAATTATCTGTTGTAACTCAGAGCCCTCCCCATCTAGTGCCCCATCACCTGCTGGTGGAGATATTTGCTATAGCAGTTGAAGGCTGCCTACAAGCCATTGTAGGCAGACTCATCATACCATCCCCTCCATAAACTTATCAAGCTCAGTCTTGAAGCCAGTTAGGTGTTTTGCCCCCACTGCTCCCCTTGGGAGGCTGTTCCAGAACTTCACTCCTCTGATGGTTAGAAACCTTCATCTAATTTCAAGCCTAAACTTGTTGATGGCCAGTTTATATCTATTTATTCTTGTGTCCACACTGGCACTTAACTTAAGTAACTTCTCTCCCTCGCTATTTATCCCTTTGATGTATTTATAGAGAGCAATCATCTCTCTCCTCAGTTTGGTTAGGCTAAACACGCCAAGCTCTTTGAGTCTCCTTTCATAAGATTTTCCATTTTTCATATCATCCTAGTAGCCCTAGTAGAACATTTGGCAAGCAGAGAAAAGAAACTGTTAAAACTTAGGGACAATTCTAACTGCCCCGTAGGCAGGCCGTATTTCAGCAAGAACAAACTGAAACCATGAAAACCACTTGGGGCTTGTCTTTGTTACAGCACTACAGTGGTGGCGCTGCTGTAGCGTTTAGTGAAGATGCTGACAGAAGAGCTTCTCCCGCCAGCGTAGGGAGTCCACCTCCGAGAGGTGATAGCTGTGTCAATGGGAGAAGCCCATAGTGCTGTCTACACTAGGGATTAGGTCAGTGTAATTATGTTGCTCAGGGGTGCGGACGTAGTTCTACCGACATAAGTTCCTAGTGTAGACCAAGCTTTGCAAAGCTAAAAAAAGGGAACAGAAAAGAACTCCCTGTATATTTCGAGGAAGGCAATGGAACCAGGTAGAAAACAGCTTCATAAGCAAGATTCTAAAGATACTTAGGGCTTGTCTACACTGCAATTAAAAACCTACCACTGGCTGGTGCCAGCTGGCTCAGTTTGTGGGGCTCTTTAATTGCGGTGTAAACTTCTGGGCTCAGGATGCAGCCCGAGCTCTAGGACCCTCCTATCTCGCTGGATCCTAGAGCCTGGGCTTGGACACTGCAATTAAAAAGCGCCCAAGTCAGCTGGCACGGGCCAGCCATGGGTGTCTCATTGCAATATAGACATACCATTAGACACGGTTTTTTGCTTGCCTAAAGCTAGTGTTTCCTGAACTTTTGAAAGCTGAGTTCCCCTTCAGGAAAAGGGAAACCAATTGTGCCTTCTCCTGCAATTGTTGGAAGACTAATTTTAATGTATACATCTTCCATGTCCCCCTCCCCTGGCCAGTCCTTCACTCTCACCACCCCACATTTTGAGGACTTCTGATTTTCATAATATGATCCTTCCTTTCCTTTCTTACATTCTCTGATGAGCACTCAATTTTGGCCTTTTGCAGTATTATTGAGCACATCTGAGTTAGCACCCATTGAAAAAACAAGGCAGTTAATGTCTCACAGGTATAACTGCAGGCTCACGGCAATTCAGGCAAATACCTGTGCCACAGTTAACTTTCAAAATGCGAAGCATGTGTTTCTTCACAGCGACAGGTAGAAACCTCTCTTTCAAAAAATGAAAACAGACTCTGCCAAATAATTAAGAGGTCTGTCTGTGCACCCCACATCTGAACTTTTGAGAACCCATTTCCCCAAAGAGGAATGTTCTGCACTTTCAGAAATGCTGCCTTAAAGCATGAGGCACCAGGTAAGGTCTACTTTGTATTAAAATGGGATAAACAATGCAAAGGTAAAAAAACCAAAACACTTGGCTCACTGTTGGTATGCTTGAAATATATCCTTATGCGGGGAAGAGTGGAAGATAGATTATCCACTATCATGTAAACTTGCCTTCTACACTCATTCAAGTCTGGCTAATTCATACAATTCACTAAGCAGTGCAACTCAGCCTCCAATTCACTAAACCTGAAACTGTCTGCTCGCCAAGTGTGAGCAGGTATAAGGCCTGGTCTACACTAGGAAATTAAGTTGGTATAATTACTTTGCTCAAGCGTGTGAAAAATCCACACTCCTGAGCGACGCAGTTAAACTGACCTAACCCCCAGTGTAGACAGCACTAGGGTGACGAGAGAATTCTCCTGTCAACCTAGCAACCGCCTCTTGGGAAAGTGGACTACCTGTGCTGACAGGAGAAGCCCTCCCATCGGCGTAGGCAGCGTCTTCTTTGAACTGCTACAGCAGCGCCACTACTGAGTTTTAAGTGTAGACAAGCCCTAAGATAAATACTGGTGGATTCCCCTTTAAAGATGACATACTGTTTACAACATAGCAGTCAGCCTTAAGAAGAAAGCAGTTAGACCTCCCCCAGTTTAGCCATATAGGGAAGGTGACTCACACAGGCACTATACAGCAAAAATGACAAGCTTCACAAAATACACCAATGCCAGTACATCAATGGCTGACACAAGCAAAACAAAATTGTGTGATCACAGACCTGGCTAATTTAACAAATGGGCACAAATGCGGGCAGCTACAAAAACAAATGTTTGAACATTACCAATGAGAACCGAGGCCAAGATTTGCATTAAGAATACCAAAATAGTTGCAAGCCTCAGGTCTTATGCTCTGATTATGATGTACTATCATCCTAAATTTGGCTATAACCTCATTAAAGGTAGACTCAGGTCTCTTGGGCCTCAAATTTGTCCCTTTTAAAAGGTGTTATAACATAATAAGGAAAGTATCCTGGATTTTAAATACCCTTGTTTGCCAAAACAATTTAAAGGACAAAAAATACTATCACTACTTGTATGGAACTGTCAAATAAAAAAAAAAAACCCACAAATGTGTTCATCATCTGTAATGCTTCTATAGCAGCATTTAACTATTCCCAGATCTTTGCGGACTTTGAGCATAATGGTGTAAAAGCAAGCATGTTTTGGCATTATAAAATACAACGATATTGCTAAGGTTTAGTTTCATTCGATAGGCCAGGGGAATGTGTGAAAGTAACTGGAGTTAGTCAAATAGAAAAGGATAAAAGTAAACTTTTTTAGAAAAATGCTTCATGTCTTCTTAAACTTTTAAAACTAAAAACACGGCCCTCTGAGCTATGCAAGGTAAGTTTCTGCTTCTGCCTAATGAAGTGTGTGGGGGAAAAAAAGTCTCTTTGTTATGAGATTGCCAATCTTTTTTTCCATTACACAGCAATTTGATACACGCCTAGTTTTACAATTCGCATGTTCTGATTGGAACATTTTCAAATTATGATCTGATGAATCTCATCTGGTATTTTAACTATCTCAGCTGAAGTCAGCTGCCTATATAAAGTGTGACATTCACTTGACTGATGCTGCTACAGAAGTGTATGACTAACAGCAGGAGTCAACAATCTCACTATAAGGCCATGTCTATACTACCACTTATGTCGGCAAAACTTATGTCGCTCAGGGGTGTGAAAAAACACACCCTCCTGAGCGACATATGCCAGTGGTAGTGTACACAATCCTATGGCGGTAGGAGAGTTTCTCCTGCCAGCACAGTTACCATCGCTCGTTGGGGGTGATTTAATTATGTCGACAGGAGAGCTCTCTCCTGTCAGCATAGAGCAGCAACACGGACCTGAACATTTATCGATTAGAAAGAGCATTCATCCCCATCACCAAGTTTCAATCAACAATAACCAAGACAAGGTGTTTTGTTACCCTGCTTTTTAATGTCAGGGTCAAACTTTGACAGTAAGCATTGTAGGAGATATTTTACCTTTCAACACCTTGAATTCAAATTAAGCATCCATCTAACTGTGGATTTTGCTTTTCTATTGCTCTGATACAAGAGTGACTGTCACTTCATAATATAATATGGGACACTGTCAACTTGAATTTTTAGAAGTGTCAATATTAAAAGTAAAAGTCCACTTTTTGACAGTATAATTTTTAAACAGTATTGGTTTTTAACCTCTCCAGCTGATGTTTATAAAGGTCTTTCCCGCAAAGGAAAAACTAAATGACTATACAGTAGCACACAGTGAAATGGACTACACACAAAGTTGTCAAAAGCACAAAGAAAAACTGAAAAAATACCATTTTTAGTAATTTTTTTCAATTAAAGGAATCCTTAAGTGTTACTTATTCTGTGGTCCACACAAAATTTGACAGAAATGCATGATTTTCAAATTCTCAGTGTCATTTTTACTGAGAAAAATTTAGATAGATATTAAAAAGTGCTATATGAAAATGTATTGATTTTGTCAAGGTAAAAGCTACAATGAGCAGTCAAATTAAAGTATAAATTACTTACAGGCTAATTTTTGTTGTAACTGTAGATCTGGAAACATCCAAACATAAATTTCTCAGCTTTGTGCTGTTTAAATCGGAACTTGCTGGTTTTTCGGTGGATTTGCCTAGTTCTCCATTCTGAATCCCTTCAGTAAGCAAGACAGCTTTTCCATCAGAGCTATTTACACGTTTTGCCGTCTTGGATTCAGTTTTACTTTCAGAAAGTAAAGAAGTGGTGTTCTCTGTGTCATTGAGAGAGGAAACTTTGGAGGTCTCTGCTTTGCTTTCACTAGAAGGTGCAGATACTGCTCCCTTTTCCACTGAAGTACTTTTTGTTGTTGGGTTACCTTCTGTTGCTGCCATAGGCTGTATAAACTGCTTTTTTGGTAAAGAATCTTTTAGTGGACTCTTCAAACCAGTGGGAGAAAGAGGGACTGCATCAGACGGATTCTTTTTAAATGATCTTCTCCTGAAAGGGGATGAAGTTGGGAGCTGCTGTTTGCTTTTCTCAGATTCAGTTTTAGGCAGCCCTTTGTGGTTAGATCCGACTTTTAAGTCCTGGTTACTCAAGGTAGAAGAGTTCCGTTCAGGAGTCTGTTGAGGAGATTTAATTTTTCTTTCTGAATTGGTTATCTTTTCTGAAACCACATCAGAAGGAACATCACCAAAAGCAGAATCTTTTTTTGCAGTATTCTCAGTCTGATTTCTCTCTCCATTTAGAGTCTCACTCGATGACTGAGATTTCCTCCTCTTTCCAGATCTCCTAGTAACAGATTTTTTATCCATTGTGTCTGTTTCACCCCAAACTTCTCCTGATAGAAAAGTCACAGATTCATTAAAAGGTGTTTCTTCTGTTTTACTAAGATAGATATCTAATGTTAGAACTCTAGCAGGATGTATGTGCTCAGCTGTTTTGGATTTCAAACTGTGTGGCAATTCCTTTGACGCTGCACACTCAGGTTGTGAAGACCTTTGCACATTCACTAGTTGTTTATTATTTAATATGTTATTTTCTAAGTCTTCACTAGATAAATTATTCAAACTTCTGATGAAATCCGGTGTTGTAGAATTAGTAATGTCTACAACAGGCTCTTCTTTTAGTTCCAATGTCTCCACTGTAAGGTCACTTTCAGAGAATGTGTTTTTTATTGTTCCAGTGCTACTGTTCCAATCAGGTGACCACTCGATATCAGAAAAGCCTTCCTTGCTGCTCCATGCTGTAATAATACTGTGACTCAAAGGTGTTATTTTCTCACAATATTCTTGTGTCTCTGCAAGAGCATTCCATCTTCTTGCCTCCTGCACTTGGGGAATTGTACATTCTTCTTTCTTTAGGTCTTCACTATCTGTTGATTTGAGTGAAGCTGTATCCTTATAAAGTGAAACTGATTTCCCACTTTCAATATTTGGACTTTTAGAGGGTTCTAGTGAATTTTTGGCATTTTTTCTCCTCCCTGTACTAAACAAATTTCCAAGCTTTCCCAAAACTGGTTTCTTTCTGTTCTCTTCTTTGGAAGATTCTGGAGACTGTGTTTTAGACTAAACAAAATTAGAAAAAAAAAGTTTGATAATGTGAAAGGTATTTCTTCAAGAAACACATTATTAATGAACATTTATATGTTCCAAGAGGTAGCCAAGGGGAACTAAACTGTTTATTAAACAGTAGGTCATCTTAGAAAAGATATGCTTTACTTTTATTTTATATATTGTTATATAATGCTTTTCTAATTACACACATCTTGCTTTAATATTATTGGTAATATAAGTCTCAAATCTTCAAACACTTGTGCACACACTTTTAGTTTGTTCATCAATATGAAGAGAGGTCCATAGATTTTTATGTCTGAAGTGATAAATTTCCATAGCAAATTTGCAAAGGTAGGTTAAATTACTACACAGGAAAAATAATATGAGCAATGTTACACTGTGGACCAAAATTTGCCCTCTACTAAAATAGTGCCACACCACTGAGTTCGATGCATATTAGTATAAGTGACTAAGGGCAGAATTTAACCCTATGAGTGAAATTTTACCCTATAACTTCAAATAAACTTATTTCCTGTTTGACAGGTTATCTAGAGAATTTCAGTATATTTACAATATGTGTCAGTAAGTTACAAAGAATTTATAAACACTTTAAAAAGCAGGCATAATGCAATGGAAAATCTTCAGCAATCAAAATATAACAGAAACATTTTTAATAATACTTCCTGTCTAAAGGAATTAGTGCTATACAAATCAATTTTGTTTACTGAAAAATTAGAGCAAAATAAACAAAGACCCTTTCACAATATTAACATAGTCTAAGTCTTTTCATAATAAATTGTGTACAGTTTTATTTTTAAATAGACTAATATTTTCTTTATAGCTAGCATTGGAAGGATTAGATTTTTATCAGTAAATGTTGATAAACATTTATTTCACCATACATACATAAGCTGACAAATATATTTCCATCCATAATCAAAGTTTACAGATAGGCAAAGAAAGAAAAATGCTGCTTGAGAACTTAGAGTTTGATTTAAGGCTATTTACCTTATATATTTTAAAATTTATGTTTTAATTGTTATAAAGTTTGAACTTTTTGAATCTCAGCATCCACTGCCAGTAAATAATTGTCTGACCCCCACCTCCTATAATTTCCCATAAATGAAAAATACATATTAAAATAAAAACAATTCTTAACACGATTCTGTGCAACTGTGAACATTTAAATCAATAAAAATTCACAAAAAATCTTACAAATAAATAATAGCATCTGTCTAAATTATACAAAAATATAATTCTGACAAGGGCCTATTCATAGTTAAGTATCCAAACACTCAGTGAAAAATGAGGTTGCTCTGTGGCCATATAAAGTGAAATGACAAGCACTGTGAATCACTGTCCCTACAGGAAACACCTCCTGAAGCATACAGCTCATGTTATGTCTCCCTCCCCTCCCTCCGGTGAAAAGAGCAGCATCAGAGATTACTGGTGCTAATAACATAATGTTAGGTTTCAGAGTAGCAGCGGTGTTAGTCTGTATTCGCACAAAGAAAAGGAGGACTTGTGGCACCTTAGAGACTAACAAATTTATTTGAGCATAAGCTTTCGTGATCTACAGCTCACTTCCTCGGATGCATGAAGCCATAATGTTGAAGCCATGGGAGCGGTACACAACGGAGGGACGATTAGCAAAGCTGTAGAACGAAGCAGGGCTGGAAGCTCAGCCCACGTGTTCCCAAAAGGCTAAGCAAGCTGCACAATGCTCCCCTTCCTTACCGACACGCAACCACTGGAGAGAAGGGGCAGCAGGAGGTTTTCAATGCACAAAACGCCCGGCGTGCCTAGCTCTGCGCCCCACGCGGACTTTAGCTGTGATTGCGGAGTTTACACTGCACAGGGGCCGTCTTCTGGCATCCGCGCTCGCAGTCAGGTGTGGGCGCAGCGCACACTCATCCCTCAACTATGCCCAGCTCCTTCCTGCCGCTGATAAGGTCAGGGAAAGTCAGGAAACGGGAAAGTCAGGAGACGGGAAAGCCAGCCGCTTCGCCTGCACAGATTTGCCTGTCAGCCCCTTACCCCGCCCCGAGCCACAGCAGTTCGCACCCCCACCAGCCCGGCGTCCCAGCCCAGGGGCAGGCAGGCTACTCACAGCGAGACCTAGGTGGCCCCCAGCGCCTCCTTCCTCCGGCAGCCCCGAGCCCGGTGCCCCGCGAGGGAGCGCAATCGGCGCAGCCGCTCCCGTCTCACCCGCCGGGAAAGCGGCGCTCCGCCAGTTCCCGCGGCAGAGGCGCCAGCCGTGTGAGCGCTCCGGCCCGCCCGCAGCAGCAGCAGCAGCAGCAGCTCCGCCTCCTCGCGCCACTCCCTCCACGCGCTGCGCGGGCCGGGGCTCCCGGAGCTGCGGCAGGGCCCCAGGGCAATGCGGGCTGGGCGTGCCCGTGAAGCGGGGGCATTCAGCGCGCAGAGGAGCGGCTGCAAAGGCGTGGGCGGGTGACAACGGGCGCAGAACCTGAGCGCGCAGGCCGGGATGCAAGGGACGCTCAGCGCCCAGCGGGTGAGACGCGGCAGCGCAGCCCAGGGCACCAGGGAAAAGGGCAAGGGGGGTTGAAGAACAGGACGGTAGAGAGGAGACAGCGGCTCAGAAGGGAGAGAGGGGGGAGCAGGACGGGAGCTCATCAAGGAGAAGAGGAATGCAAGGAGCCAACAATCGGCAATGCATAAAGACGGGGAGTTGGCGCTACCAGCGCGTGTCTGAACAACTTGAGCGGCTGCTATAGCAGAGCCTATTCCCAGCTATCCAGGGCAAAAAGCCGCCCCGAGCAAAACCGACAAACTTTGATGCTGAGGGAAGAAAAGCGTAGAATCTAAAGTATCCAGTCGCGCCATCTACCTGTAGGGAGCTGCTCGCGTTATAAAACAGGGCTTAAAGACGGCAAAGTGGTTTTGTACAAAGCAAATGCCCAGGATGGGGGCGGGAGTGGATGCACTAAGCAGCATCGTGTTTGGTTAATTATCATAATTGTTGTTTGCCGATCAGCTATTTTACTTGACGTGCTGCAGGCACACTAGTTGGAAAGATCGTGTACAGATTCCAACTGGTTAGGGGGCGGAATAAGTAGGAGATCAGTGGTCTGTCCAGTAGTTTTTTTAATGAGTGTATACTATGGAACGATTCTGGACCGGTGAAGAGGTGGCCTGAATAAGCTACTTGGCCTTCAACAATTGTAGCTTCTCAAAAAATATTTACTAGCCTCTGTACTAAAACATGCTTTAGTTAAAATCCTGTTACAAAGCATATTACTTAATTTCAGGCATAGAAACTTGGGCAATGAAGAAACCACAAGGCTACCTAGCAAGAATTTTAAGCCAAAAGAGGAGAAATGAATGTGCAGAAGTGAATGCAGTTCTACACAAAAAATATATCTGTACACATTTTCCTTGTAGAGAATGTGGCATTGAGGGATGGAGAGGGAGTCAGCACTTAATAGAGGATAAATCAGTAAATTTGAAACCAAAGTTTGAGAGGCTTTGGATAATCTGAATAAAGCAGAAAACAAGAGGAAAATGGAGAAGTCTTGATGAGATTAAATAAATAAAAAAAATAACCCCTCATCAAGACAACTCAAATATAAAGTTTTATTATGTTATGGTCACTATTACCAAGTGGTTCAGCTATATTTACCTCTTGGACCAGATCCTGTGCTCCATTTAGAACTAAATCAAGAATTGCCTCTCCTCTTGTGGGTTCTAGGACTAGGTGCTCCAAGAAGCAGTTATTTAAGGTGTCAAGAAACTTTGTCTCTGCTGTTACCACTCAAGATAGAAATCCTGGATAGTCCACTGTGGATAGTTCTCAGCCGCAGACAAAAAAGCAAACAGAATGTTGGGAATCATTAGGAAAGGGACAGATAATAAGAGAGAAAATAACATATTGCTGCTTTATAAATCCACGGCACGGCCACATCTTGAATACTGCTTGCAGATCTGGTCCCCCAGTCTCAAAAAATATCTACTGGAATTGGAAAAGGGACAGAAAAGGGCAACAAAAATGATTAGGGGTATGGAACAGCTTCCATGTGAGGAGAGATTAGTAAAACTGGGACTTTTCAGGTTGGAAGAGATGACTAAGGGGGAATATGATAGAGGTCTATAAAATGACCGGTGTGGAGAAAGAAAATAGGGAAGTGTTATTTACTCCTCATAACACAAGAACGAGGGGTCACCAAATGAAATTAATAGGCAGCCGGTTTAAAACAAACAAAAGGAAGTATTTCTTCACACAACACACAGTCAACCTGTGGAACTCTTTGTCAGAGGATGTTGTGAAGGCCAAGACTATACCAGGATTAAAAAAAAATAACTAGTTCATAAGATAAGTTCATAGATGATAGATCCGTCAATGGCTATTAGCCAGGATGGGCAGGGATGGTGTCCCTAGCCTCAGTTTGCCTGGTGGTGGCATGGGTGACAGGGAATGGATCACTTGATGATTGCCTGTTCTGTTTATTCCCTCTGAAGCACCTGGCATTGGCCACTGTTGGAAGACAGGATACTGGGCTAGATGGACCTTTGGTCTGATCCAGTATGCCATTCTTATATGCTATATTATTCATACATTAAAAAGAGCTAAATTCAACCATAACTATTGAGTCATGATTGCATTTCCGTAACATATTTGCATGAATAAAGAGTTCTGAGTTATTGAAAAGCACACTGGGTAGGGTTGCCAACTTTCTATTTGCACAAAACCGAACACCCTTGCACCGCCCCCTGTCCCACCCCTTCTCCGAGGCCCCACCCCCTCTCACTGCATCCCTCCTCCCTCTGTTGCTCGATCTCCTCACCCTCACTCACTCAGGGGGTTGGGGTGCGGAAGGGAGTGAGGGCTCTGGCTGGGGGTGCAGGCTCTGGAGTGGGGCTGGGGATGAGGGGTTTAGGGTGCAGGAGGGTGTTCTGGGCTGGGATTGAGGGGTTTGGAGGGAAGGAGGGGTTCAGGACTGGGGCAGAAGGTTGGGGCACAGGTGGGGGTGACGGGTGCGGGCTCCGGGCGGCGCTTACCTCAGGCAGCTCCCAGAGGCAGCGGCATGTCCCCCCCTCCTGCTCCAATACGGAGGTGCAGTCAGGTGGCTCTGTGCACTGCCTGGTCCACAGATGAAGCCCCATTGGCCACGGTTCCCGGCCAATGGGAGCTGCGGAGCTGGTGTCTGGGGCAGGGGCAGTGCCCAGAGCCCCCTGGCTGCCCCTATACCCAGGAGCTGGAGGGGGGTATGCCACTGCTTCCGAGAGTCTGCCTGAGGTAAGTGCCACCCGGAGTCTGCACCCCTTACCCTCTTCCTCTCCCTTGCCCCAGGGAGCCTGCCTTAGCCCCACTGCGCCACCAACTGGACTTTTAATGGCCCAGTCAGCAGCACCGACCGGAGCCACCTGGTCCCTTTTGGACCAGGCATTCCGGTCAAAAACCGGACACCTGGCAATCTTAACTCTGAGTTACATTTTCAAATAGTGCGTGTTAAGCCCATAGTTGAGTTTGATTTGCAAGACTACATGTATAAAAACTTAGTAGGCAAATCAATTGCACCTGTGAAAAAAAATTGCTATGTGCGATTATCTTGCATAAGTTCTTAATTATAACATGCAGTATTTGAAAATCTAGCTTTAATTTCTTACTGAAGTTTGAATTTGTTTTATGTCTAGATAAATAGATGCACATACACAAGAAAACTGTTGCTTGATTCTGAAATTACACAAGCCTTGTGTAAATTGTACTGAAATAAGAGAGCACCACAATTACACACACCGCTTACAAAACGCATAAAGGTTCTTGCTCTGAAGAGCTCATATTTTAACTCACATAAATATAATATGCAGGACAACAGCGTAAATGCAAGAAGACATAAAAGGCCAAGATTTTCAGAAGTGGCTAGTGATTTTGGGTGCACAACTTGAGACACCATAGAGGGGACTAATTTACAGAAACTCTGAGTAACCATCTTCTGAAAATCAGGCCCCATTAAGGTGTCTCACTGCATCCAAAAATCTAAGGACCCAAAATCAATAGTCATTTTTTAAAACCTGGGTCAAAGACAGCATTAGTGACAAGAAAACCACAGGAAATCTTATGTGTTTTTAGGATGGATTTGAGGATGGGTTGAAGATCACACTGCATAAGGAGTTGGAGGCTGTTCCAAGTGTATTGCAAGCATCTTTAAGGTGATGTTCTACTATGAAGACTATATAAAATTGCCACCTTCTTAAGCAACAGATCTACACTTTGTGCATATTCAGTGATATATGTTTACATTAATGACAAAAATACTCCTGTTAGCAATGCAGAGCCAATACAGCCAAGACCCCAAGTCTTCAGAGTACTTAAATGTGCTTATCTTGATTTCAGTGGGACTTAAGCACATGCTAAAGTGCTTTGCTGAATCCAGGACTAAGGGATCAAAGGGATGTTCAACTGAGTTAACTTAATATGACTGACAAACCCTCTTATAGCATGTCCACGCTTGGGAAAAAAGGTGTGTTTTTACCAGGTATTAGCTAACGTGGTAGCTAACATGGTAAAATCCAAGTGTGGACAAGACAGTTATCGTTTTAACACATTAGCTGGTTGATGTAAACCCGAGGCTCTACCCTAAAAGTAAACAAATGGAATAAATTGCGAACACTAAATTTGACTTTTGCAGTTCTTTAAAATTCATTTATTTATGGCTTTATCAACAACAGGAAAATTTAGGTTTATGATGTCCATTTAACTTTATCTTAAACAATTCGCATTATTTAGCAGGAAGCATTTTTAGTTCAGGATAGGATGTTTGGGGGTTTTTGGATACCTTTAAATTACAAGTCACAGTGCTAACAGCATGTGGGAAATAGAAAACATCAGAATGGAGTTCAGCAGCCACTGATGGAGTCACAGAAGTGGCATTAGATAAATTATAGTGGAATGAGTTGTAACTGCTGTTCTCTGCTCCATTTGTTATAGTGATTGAGATTCAGCTGTTCAGCAACAGTAGTGCTGGGGTTTGTTAGGACTAAGCAATTACTGAAGCAGTGTGGAGACTCTACCAGAGAGTGGAAAAAATGACGTGGGAGGGATGCAAAAAGAAAAAAGATCTAAGAGAGTGCAACATAAATAAAATAAGAAATCAAATAGCCAGTATAATGAGGAAAGAATACTAAAAGGAAGAAACGTGGACAAAGTACAATGCAGAGAGAGGCACTGGAGAATGACAATGTTTGTGGGGTGTGGAGGAAACATGGAAAAGCTGATTTAAAACTAAATAAAAAAACA